TGCCGCGTCGCTGCGTTCGGTTTGGCAAGAATACAGCACTTTGGATCAAAGGGATTCCCCAGCGCGTTAACCACAATGCCAAAGTTATGGAAAGCGGCTCCGCGGCGGGGGCGGCGAGGGAGGCGAGGGCGGCGGGGGCGGTGGAGGCCGGCCGAGGAGGAAGGGAGTACCTTGATGTCCACTGCCAACGGGCAGCGCGGCCTTGACGGCCAGGTCGGACAGACATCCGGAAGCCGAGGAGAAACCCTGGGTAAACCCTGGACCAACCCTGAGCAAACACTGGGCAAAACCTAGGCAAACCCTGGACAAACTCTGGGCAAACGCTGGGCAAACCCTTGGCAAACCCTTGCCAAACCCTGGGCAAACCCTGGGCAACGCTGAGCCAGCCACGAGCAACCTCCAGTGGGCCGAGCGAGCTTCCACTTCACGGCGCCTCGGCCAGCCTCGGCCAGCTTCGCCTCGCCTGGCCTGTGCGGGTGGAAAGTTGCCAGGCCCCTTGCCGCGCCCCGCCGCGCCCCGTCCCCGCCCCGAGCCCCGCCCGCCCCTCTGCAGCTCGATGCTCTGGAGGAGGATGTGGACCGGGGAAGAAAACGACTGCGGGCGACTAGAAGAGACACGGCTACCCAAACTGTACAGAATGTTGGAGCGGGACCAACACTTAGGTCACCCATAAGCGGAGCGGGTGCGATGCGGGGCGAGGGCCCCAAGGGAATGCCGCTTAGCAAAACTTTAAACGTTGGACGGGTCTATTTCGTGAACGGCCAGAGGGAGAAGGTACGAAATAACTTAATTGTTAAACTGCCTCTTCTGTCGTTCCAAGCACGACACCGCGAGGTGGGCGCTTCTTTTCGTCGAGTTGGCACAGGGCATCGATTTGGGCGGGAGGCCTGTCTAATGAATGGCGTTCGCTAATCCCCACTCACACGAGACGCGTTGTCAGCGCGGCCTGATGGCGACGCCTGGCGACGCCGGGCGACGCCTCACGACGCTGATGACGAGAATAATAATTCAAGACAAATGGTTGTTTGCTGTCGTGGCAACAGTAAGACGCTCTTAGCGCGCCTCCCCTCCCCTGCCTGCCGACAGCGCGGATAGCAAAAGGAAACCGGGGAAGCCACGCGCCTGGAACTCAACAACGCGCCGAGGCCCGCACGGAGGTTGAGATATCCGATTCCAATTCATAGCTCCGAGAATGAGAATGGCTTATTATTCACGCGAGTTGAGGCGGTTTCGTGATGCGATTGTGCACTGTGGTTTTGTGCTGTTTTACACCGTGCTGTGTGCCTGGGTTGTCGAAGCGGGAGTGCCAGAGTTCTGAGACAGATGCGAGAGTACCCAAGTCGAAGCATTCGACCGAAGGGACTAGAAAAGTGTTTACACCCCGCTTCGCTTACATCTTCTAGGCACAAAAATGCTACTAATCCTCTTTCTTCCAGCGCCTTTAGTGTCCGTGCAGTTCGCCGTCCTTCTCGCACACTGTTCTAGCGTCCCGGCAGGACAAAGACATGTCCCCCTCCACCCAAAAAAAAGTTACAAAGTAAAATTAACGAGCGGGAAATCAATTATTTATTTGTCATAGATGACCCACTGGCCCCACAAAATTCTATATTGATCGCTGCTCTCTGCCATAGAGAACAGTGGCCTTGTGGAGTTTTGCGGAGCTCGTAAGATCTCTTTGTGAGACCAAAAACAGTCAAATACCGCTTTAGATTATTTTCGCGTCATTTTGTTTCTCATTTTATTTTATTTGTTGTTGTCTTTCCTTGGACTGAAGAAAGTTTGGACCCCCTTAGTCAAATTGAAATGGGCCCGATTCCCTCTTCCCCCTGCTGTTTGTGAACCAGCCTGGATGTGTTTGCTGCAGGTCCTCCGGTTGAGGTGGGCGTCACGATGTACGTTCTCAGTATCAGCTCCTTGTCGGAGGTCCAAATGGTACTTACACTGCCCTGCCTAGGTCTCTAGTCGTGTCGTCGTAGAAGTGCCATGTACACCCTGGGATGACGTCGTTGTCTTTCTTTCTCTTTAGTTTGTCGTTCCCACATCCCGCACCGGGACCCTGCTCGCCTGCCCCCCCGCCCCGTTGGCTTGTAGTGTCTGTGGCTCTGCGCGCTGGGGCAGGCGAAGTCAGTCTGGCCGGTACTCTGCATGTTGCGCCCGGCACACTTGGCATTTTAACTTCTCTTCGTTAATTATTTTTCTAAAACGTTTTTCTTGTGAATGACGCCCTTTCTTTGATTTTTGTTTGTTTTTCCTTGAAGGAAATAAATGTGCAATCCTTGTAATCCACTTTTTATTATTTTTTTGAACGAAAAGAACTAGTGCCACGGAATGATGCGACGCGATGGCTCGCCTCCGAACCTCAATACTCTTGAAATAACGTGTAAACAATCCGTAAACGAGAAGGAACCCCAGATAAAAGAGAGCTGCGTACAGGTGCCAGGACTGCTACGCGGCTACACTGTGCGACCACACGGTGCGAGTACACTGCACACACCCGGGGGCGCATTTCCTGCACAGTCCTTTCCTCAGGTCAAGTCTATGTGTGTTTCCAGGTCCGGCCGTGGAAGTGGGGATTACAATGTACGTGCTGAGTATCAGCTCGCTCTCAGAAGTCAAAATGGTACTTAAACAAATCAAAACAAGCAGCCGCATTTTGATTAGTTTTGTTTGTTTTGTTATTTGGTAGTCAGCAAAGCGCGCGCGGCAGCGTGGCAGCCCGCTTGACTGCAAGCCAACGTGGCACATCTGCTTGCCCTTGACAAAGTTTGGGCGCCTTGGATGGGATGGCCGCCGCTTGTCCTGCAGTTGGCGCGGCGCGGTGCGGCGGCCCTGGCCGGTCTGGCCTGCCTGGCCTGCCAAACCACCTCGCTTGCCCGAGGCTTGCCGAAGGCTTGCCGCCTTGTCACGGTAGCGAGTCCAGAGTCGCCCCTCGGCCTGGCGTCCAGCCTGTTGTCCAGCCTGGCGCACTCCACGGTCACACGAACGCGGGACATCCATCACGGCTCGCTGTGCAATCTTCCTTTCCTTTTTTCTTGGTTTCTCCTCGCACATGGGGGGATGGTTGCTGCCAGACCTTTTTGCACCCCACGGGCATCACTGATTTTCACGCGGGCTGGACTGCTCAGTAGGACGCCGCTGCACTGCCCTTTGAGCGCCGTTTTTGCTCGTGGCCCGCGGCACGGCCGAGAAGGCCGAGATCGTACTGAGCAGTCCTCGTGCAAGTCGAGGCACTCCGCACCGCTTTCGTCGCGAGGCCGCCAAGGCCTTGCGGTTGTACTGTTTTTTGCAACACGAGCCAATGCAACAAACGTGTTTTTCACGCAAATTTTCACTTTTGTCCCTGGTGCAATTTATCACTTTTGTATACGAGGGTGTTCGCTCTCCTGGCCACGTTAAGAAAATGGCTTGTTCTTCTTGATGGATCATGTGCGAAGAGGAGAAACATTTTTTTGTGTTCCGTCCGAGGCGGGCGTCAGTGAGTGTGTTAACAAAGGGTCCGATGTCCGCGCCGCCCCCAAACTACGTACTTGCCCATCGAAGCTTGGATCTTGGCAAATAATAAAGTTGTACCGCAAGCCCATTCTAAAAGTAATTGCGCACTGCATTGCGTATGGTGGTCTTTTGCGTGCAGTTGAAAACCGTAGGAATCGATGCTCTTAGATTAGCCACAACAGCAAAGACTATTAATCGCGAGCTTCCGTACCGTCGAACTATCTCCATTCTATTTTTATATCTCTATTTCTTTCTCTCTCTTTCTTTTCTCCCTCTCTCTTCTCTCTTTCTCTTTCTGTTTCGTTCTTTGTATGACCTAGGTTCGAGACGACACACTGTTCTTTCTAACCACACCGCCGACACTCTAGCGTGATATTCCACTCACAGAGAATGCCAAGTAGGCTGGCGTTCGATGCATGTTGGTGCCTAACGCACCGCTGCCGTGGAATCTGGGGGCGAGGCGGCCTGGCCTCGGCCTGGCCAGCCGCGGCCAAAAAGGAAATTGGAAAATCCTGGAAAATGCCTCCCGAAGCTGCGTCTGAAATTTCCGGAGGCTTCGTTTTTAAAAACGAAACAAAAAAAAAACCTCGAAACATTGGAGATATTTGAATTTTCCATAGAAGACAGGCAATTTTTTTCCAACACGTTCTCCGGGAATTTCCAAGTTTTCTTTTTTGACAGCGCAGTCACTTCTCCCATTTAGCTATGTAGAGTAACAGTGGTGTCCCGGTCGCAGCTTACGGCGGTCGGAGGGTCCCTTTTTCCGGCGGTGGTCGTTGGCCGCCGTGTCCAGGCTGCCTCGCCTTAGAGTAGTTGTGTAACGGCTGCTGCGTGCCCTGTGCCCGAAATGCGCCCCACAACAAAAGAAACGCCCCGAACAAACTAGTCTCTCCCCCTTAGATTTTTATCATAACGAATAACGACTCCCGAAGCCAGTTTTCAGTTCGATCTAGCACTTTGCAGGCATTTTGTTTATTTACTTCTGGTTTGATTCTTGATAGCCCCGTAGGACATATCGCATGTTAGCGGGAGTGCCTGCGTAGGGAGCTGCAACCCCAACCCCCGACTAATGCAGTGTTTCTTGCAGGAGTCCCCCTTGCAGGAGTCCCCCTTGCAGGAGCGCGGCCCCGAGGGTGCCCCCACGGGGCCCCCCGGGAGCCGTCCCACAGCAACAAGCCCCATGTCCCTCGGCCTGCGAGGCAGTCAGCGAGGCAGAGGCCCCGGCTGCCTCGTCCTCCCCTCCCACTAGAGCGTACTCCACGCACTGCCTCGGCACGTCGACCAAAGTCTCGCAGCTTGGCGCCTCACACCAAGACGCTGCGTCACTCGCTGTGTTGTCTGTTTTGTTTATTGTTGTGTGCAGCAGGTGCTTCGAAGGCTGCTCCCTGGCGCGAGGCTCGCCCAGCCTCAGGCCTCGCGTAGCCTCGCGCCGGGGACAGCCTTGCCTCCCTCGTCCCTGGTGGTTGTTGCGCTCCTCTCTGACGGGCCAGCTGTATGTGTGTTTGCAGGGCCTCCTGTAGAGGTGGGGGTCACCATGTACGTGCTCAGTATATCCTCGGTGTCGGAAGTGTTAATGGTACTCATCTCATTCCTGCTCTGTGTCGTGCTAGCCTGTGCTGGACGGGCCACGCCCCCCGGCGCCTCGCCTCGTCGCTCCGTCTCTCTCGCACCCCTACGGGACCCCTACGGGACGGCCCGCGAGTGCGAGAGTGACAGAGCGACGACAGCTGCTGGCGGCTGGCGCGGCCCCGGGGGTCCCCGTGCCCTCCCCGATGACTGGGCCAGGTGTCGGCGCCAGTCCGCGGCCTCGCCGACTGACTCCGTGGAGTTGTCGGTCTCTCTCTCTCTCTCGCACCTGCACTGGTCGTCCCATGAGTGCGAGAGAGAGGGCGATGCCTCGGGGCGCCTCACCTGGCCCAGGCGGGTGCCTCCGGGCCTCGGCGTCCGCGGCCTCGGCCGCAAGCGCCACCAGGCGGGCCACCAGGTCCAGTTAAGAGCGGAACCTTGCATACTTCCGTGCGGACTGTGCGGAACGTCCGGACGCATGCGGAACTTCGCAAAATCGCTTGGACTTATAGGCATAAATATTGGAGAGATATTGCCGTGAAGTGATGACATGACCATTTCGTACTCAAAATCAAGAGAATAAGTCCAATATCGTGGCGATTCCGCACAGTCCGCACGGAAGTGTGCAAGGTTCCGCTCTTAACTGGACAGCTTCAGCCGGGCCGAGGCCGCGGGCGCGCAGGCCCGGCCGTGTATGCGGCGCGTTTCATGTGTGTATTCGTATGACAGAGGCCGGGACTCGCAGGCCTCGGACTGGGGCTCTGGCCGGGGCCCTGGGGCGAGGGGGCCTCGGACAGCCCCTCGGACAGCCCAGCCCGGGCCTCGGCCAGAGCAAAGCAAGCCATGCCATGCCAGCCGGGCCGGCGGTCCCAGGCACACGACAAACACCGTACAGCCGTGGTGTGCTCTGTGCCTGCGGTACCCTGCGGTACTTTAGGAAACCCACCTAAGTCTTCTTCCCCTGCTTCGTAGAATGTATGGTTTTCATTTTTGTATCATGTTTTTTTTAAACATATATATTTTTGGTATCCTGAGGGGACAAAGTTTCATCACTGCGTGACCGGTATCTTCCCGTTTCCCCCTGTGTTATTATTTCTCTGTTTACCTTCCTCTTTCTTCTTCTCTTTCTCTTTTCGGCGGGAAAGCATGCACGCTCCCGAAGTGGGGGCGCGCCACCATGCGCCACCAAGCGCCACACACCACAAGGGGCGGGGAAGAAGACCAGTGACTACCGCACAACAGACGCACTCACACAGACACACACCGACACGCCGCCATGTGTGAATGTGTTACCGCCCTCCGCGACTTCACTAGGTTCGTTCGACCCTCCTTAATCACGCATTGTAGGTCCCTGCATCCGGGAAGGAATCCAATTCATCATCCGGGACCTTGCGCGCTTGCGCCAGAGTGGACTAGAGTGTGCCGGGCCGCCCCCCCGCCTGGCTGCCGGAGCCTGGAGCCCCCCCCCCCTCGCGGCCCCCTCGCGCCCCCCCCCCCACTCACGGGGGCGATATTTCTGCCGTGATGGACGCTCTGTCAGCTCAGCCCAGCGCCCACCGCACGCGGAGCGGTAGAGCGGCGCCCACCCCGTCCACCGCGCCCAACCCGCCCTCCCCGCCCGCCCCGCCGCTGCTGCGGAATTTCGCAAGATTTATAACTACTTTTTCGTTTTGAGTTCGGGAAATATGTGAAGTGCATTTTGAAGCGACGCGCGGCTGCCTGGCGGTCGCGCGCGCGGCGTGGCGGGGCGCGGCGGCCCACCGCGCGGGATGAGAAAGTTTTGACAGCCGCATATCGGCGCGGAGCGCGACGACTTGCCGGCTGGCGCGGGCTGGCGGCCCTTGAGGCGTTTCAGCCCTTCAGCCTTCGGGCCTTCCGCCTCGGGCCTTCAGCCTCGGCCCTTCGGCGGCCGCCCGAGACAGATAAATCACGCATTGTACTCCCCGACGCGCGCGCACGCCGCGGCCCGCGCACGCCTGTAAAACGGGGACGGTGTAAGAAATAAGAAATACGGTGGGGGCTCCTCCACGGCGCGTTCAGCGGGGAAGATTTGTGGCTTTTGAGCGCCGTGCGCGGTACACGGGCCTTTGTTTTTGGACGGTTCACATTCATACGTGTTCGGCGAATGGATACACCCACATATATATATTATACATATTCCCTTGGAAGTCGTCGGATATTTTTCTTTCCCTCTCTGTTTGTCCTGTCTGTCTCCTTGGTCTGCTGCCTTTCTTTCTAAGCCACCTCCGCTATTCCTTCATTTTTTCTGTCTGTCTCTCTCTTCTTGCTTTCCTTCCTCCTTTTGTACGTCCTTGAGGTCCTCCGTCTCACTCTGTGCACACATACAGCTCCACACACACGGACAGTCTCACACCCACACACACGCGCGCGCGCACACACACACATTCTCCTACCGCCCACATAGCAGTGCCTCAGTGTTCTCCGGACCGATCCGAGCTTCTCGTCATCTTGAAATGCAGGGCCCTCAGCCCGTGGGCCCTCGGCCGCTCTCGGCCGCCTCGGCCCTCCACCTTCCATCTCGGCCGAGTCTGGAGTCCCCCCCCCCCCCGCCCGCCCGCCCCCGCGGCTCGGCTCGCCTCGGCAGCCACTCAAAAGTTTGCACCGCGCTCGGGCCCGGGTCCCAGTTTGCTACCCCCGGCCCTCTCGGCCCGCTCGGCCCGCTCGGCCAGAGAGAAGCTTGTAGGCAGCTGTTTTCTTTTCTTCCTCCACTTTCACGGTGGATTGCTGCCGAGATATCCATCTCTGCGGAATACTCGAAGCGGGCTGCAGGCCTGGCCATATTGGCTTCTAGGCGCAGCGCCGAAGCGAGGTTACCTTTTAAAAAACGGAGAGGGTCCTGTCTCTTCCCTCCTGTTACCATTCCTCTCGGAGAACGCTGAGGCCCGCATAGAAACCCTCTCCCACAGAGCAACTAATCTTTTTTTCTACTCCCACAGCTGGTTGATGAGTCTTTGTACGGACAGAACGGAACCATGCAACGTTCCCAATCCTTGCATGCACCTGAGGCCGGCCGCCTGTCTCGTCTGGAACGACATAGGTATCCCTCCGGCCCTCCGGCACAGGGGTGTTGTTTTTGTTTCATTTCGGCCAGTGGGCCGAGCATCATTAGGCTGACTGGCTTTCTTGCCACGCTTGCGAGTGGCAGGTGCCAAGTAAATGAACCACCGCAGCCCCTGGCCCGACCTGGCCCGGCCATGGAGTAAATCCATGTACGCTTGGAAAATAGCAAATCAAAATCAACCACGACATTCATTTTTCATGATTTTTTTTTTTGCGGTGCGCAACGCACGCGGTGCCGTACCAGACCAGACCGGCGTTGACTCGTGTTTGGCGATTGTATTGTAGGTGTTTTGTCTGTTTGGTGTGCATTCAGTTCCACCGCAAAATGGAACGCCGTCGTCAAGCAGCCCGCTCTCACGACGAGCCTGTTGTTGTGCTAGCTGTCTCTCTTGTCGAGCCACATACTTCACTTGACCGGCGCGAAGACGCGTGCAGACCAGCGCCAAAGCGTCACTAACTTGGTTACTTACCTTCCTTTTTTTTTCAAAATTGAGATTTCACGGCTGAACTTTTTGTGGTGAAAATTTAAATTTCGCGGCCGCGACGCACTCCGCCATCGGCGACCCTTTGTTCGGGACTGGATGTGCAACAAACGTGTAAACAGCGACGACCTAATGATCCGCGTCCGGGACGTCCAGGACGACGTCAAGGGCGTCAAGGACGTCAAGGTCACCTGAGGACGTGATCGGCTATACAGCAGTCTCACTTTGCCACGGCCAGGGCGGCCCGGGCCAACACCGTACCCAAACGGTTCGGAGCGCCTCGCCTCGCCAGCCAGCCCGGCCTGCCCTGGCCGAGGGCGCCGAGGGCAGGCACAGTCCCACTGACGGGCCAGCCCGGCCAGCCGGCCAGCGCGGCCGCCATGCTCCCCGCGGCACCGCGGCGCCACGCCACGCCCTGGAGGCTGCTTCGAGGGGCGTGTCCCTCTCGCACCTCTACGGGACGCCCCACGAGGGCGAGGGAGAGAACTCCCACTCGGAATCGGCCTGCGGGCACCGCGACCATTGCTCCAGTCCGCGATGGCTTGGGGCGTGTCGCCGCGTCTCTCTCTCTCTCTCTCTCTCTCTTTGGCGGAGCTTGGTGGCACGTTGGCCGCGCTGGGCGCGCGAGGGCCGCCTGACGACACTCAAGCCATTGCTCTCTCTCTATCTCTCTCTGTCTCTCTGTGGCGCGTGGCGTGGCGGGCTGCTCAAGTGTGTCTCCCTCCCTGTTGGTCCCTCTTCCCTCCCGCACGGCCTCTGCATGCTCGTAGTCCTCGTAGTCCGTAGCCTAGCGCGCAGTGCCCTGCCCGCGCCGACCCGCGCCGACCGGCGCCCCGTCGTCCGCACCGAGGTTCGCTGCGTCGCTCTGTCTCTCTCGCACCCCTCCGTGACGCGCCTCGAGTGCGACAGAGACAGAGCGACGATGCGATTCTTCGGAATCTGTCTGCAGGTTGTGGAGGTTCTTCGAGGACAGCGCCAAGCGCCAAGTGGAAAACGCAGTCACACGCACACACGCACACCAACATACACACATAAACCGCGACCTACGAAATTAGTCACAGGAAACTGTTCGCCAGATGAACTTAACACCGCGTTTAATCCGAAACCCAAGCCGTCCCCCAATTTGCCTCGCAAAAGACGCAAACCCGAACCCGCAAAATTGGCTTTGCCTTTCAAATAAGGGAGGGGGGTAAACAAGAACACAAGGCCCACACGACCGCGACGGGGAGGGGGCAGGGGGCAGGGGAACCCGACCTGGTCGTGTTAAGGGTGAAAAGGGAACACCGCCGTTGTAATGCGGGGCAAGTCTGGGTCATTGAAAGAAAGAAAAAAAGAACAAGAAAAACACAAATGAATTTTTACAAAAACCTAAAAACGATAACCTCTTGTTTGATGAGACGCGTGGCACTAGTTTGCCTGCTGGCTCATTTTGGCTCCAAGTCCAAATTGATGGTGCGTCATCGCCGTCTTCGCGGCCGTCGGGATGCTCCGGGGCGCCGCGGCGCCTTAACGACGTCGCCGACGTCGCCACCGCCGACGCCCCGGACGGCGTCATGTTTAATACTTGACTCAGTGCCGCGTCCCTTCGCTTTTTCGCGGATTAAGGGCCGCGCCCTGCCGCGCCCTTCGCCCTTCTCGAGGGCGGCGCGTTGTCAGAATCTCGCGGGGGATGACGATGCCGTCGTTGTTGTTGTTGGCTCGGCCGGGAAGGCAGCGCGGATGCGTAATTGGCGGCGAGCGGCGCTGTCCACGTGTAAAATTAAATCAGCCTCCGGGCGAGCTTCACTTCAAACGGCGCGCGATCGAAGCGGCGCCGCGGCGGCCTCTGCCTGGCCGGTGATGCGTGAGCAGCCGCGTGCGGTCACCGCCTGCTCGCTCACTGTTTCCGAACGCTGTCTCTCTCGCTCTCGTGGGGCGGGCCGTGCGGGTGCGAGGGAGACAGAGCGACGAGGCGCCGCAGAGCGGAATCGGTCGGGTCGGCGTGCTCGCTCGCGTGCTCGTGCTCCGGGGATCGGTCAGACCGGGTCAGAGGGGCGCGTTATCATCTCGCTTCCACCATCCCGAACTACGGCCGACCTGCAGCAACTCTGCCCCAGATTAGGCAAGACGTGCGCAGGGGCCGGGGTGGGGAAGGGAAGGGAGCGCTGTGCGAACACGCACGCCGCCGCGCCGCAAAAAAGGCCCTGCTGCCGGCCGCCCCACCCAGTCGGGCCGCCAGTTGGGCTCCCGGCCGGCCGGGCTGCCCTCGGCATTTGCATAATTCACTCTCTTTGCTTCGTTCGCTTCGCTCATCGCGCGTTTGCAGGCTTTTTCGCGGCGGTGGCCGTTGGCGCTGGCGGTGGCCTGCCCGCCCGTCCGCCGGGCGGCAAGCAGCGCGCCAAGCCGCGAGGGGCCCGGCGGCTTTATTGCTCGTGAGGGCCGCCGTCGACGCCGTCCTCCCCGAGGCCGCCGTCGTCCTCGCCGTCCTCGCCGCGAATTCCTTGACGAGGGGACTATTTGGGGCGCGCACAATGGCGCACTGCGTCTCTGGCGCCGCGCCAGCACCTCGCCACAGCCCCACATGGCCGCGCCGCCGTGGCAGTGCCGTGGCAGCGCCGTGGCGAGCGTCATCCCTCAGCCTCGGTCGGCCTCCTGCCGGGCCGTTCCGAACGGTCGTATCGTCGACCTGTCTCCCTCGCACCCCTTCGGACCACCCTGAAGTGCGAGGGAGACAGAGCGGCTGGGCGTTAGGTAGCGGCGCGGCGGGGGTTCTCAGCACACTACACAGTCCCGTCTCTCTCGCACTCGGCGCGCTTCGTGGCTGTGCGAGGGAGACGGGGCACGTTCACACCACAGTCATTACGGCGCCGCGTTTTCCATTTGGCGGCCGAAACTCGATTAACCTGGTCGTTGGTGGTCGCGGCCACCTCGCGGCGACCTCACAGAACACCGCGATTAGGCTGGCCGCCGTGCTGGCCGCGGACCGCGGGGCGCCGAGCGCGCGGAGCAACGCGGTGTGGGGCGCCGCGGTGTATCGATGTCTTTTTGTTTTTCTAGTGTTGTTGTGCTTCTCCGCATGCATAGCATGTTGCACGCTGCATGGCATGCTAGCTTACTGTGTGAGGACTCGTTCCAATTGTTTTTTATACGCTCTACTCAGTGTTTTCAGCTGTCCGGTGTCCGATCAAGTGCAAACGCGAGCTGTTTCCGTTGAGTGGGAATGCAAAAGGCCAAGGTGTGAGGATCCACTTTTTCCTCCCGTAGAGCAACACTAATTGTTGTCCAGAAATGCGAGCTCGCATCGATTCGCCGTCAGTCCAGCCTTGGCGCCGTTTGCAACATTTCCCCCAGGTGCTCAGCCGCAGCTCCTTCCCCGGCTTCCTCTGTCTCGCTGTTTCCCCCTAATCCTCCTCTGTAACACTCCAGGTGAAGTACTTTTGTCCCAGGGACACAATAGGTCCACCGCACTATTTCCGCGGCGTGGCGCGGCGCGGCGGGAGATTTCGGTTAGCGGGATGTAGGTCATGCATACAAAAGAGTTGTCTGCGCCTATCCGGCAAATCGCTAGTGCTGAGCGCCACGCCGCGCCTCGCCGCGCCACGAAGCAGCGCTCTCCCGCCAGGCAATCCAAGCCAGCCTCGCCTCGCAGGCCGAGTCCGCCGCGTCGGCCGAGTCGGGATGGAGAAGTGATGGCGCTGCCGGAGGGATAGGCCCCTGGTGGCCCCGCCGGCCCCGCCCAGCCCTCACCTCTTGCCTGGCGTGGCGTGGCGTGGCGTGGCGTGGCCTAGCGCGGCCATAAAGAGGCCCGTAAAATAGCTCAGGCCAGCTCGTCTTCAATAGCGGCGGGGCGGGGCGGGGCGCCCGCTGGGGCAGACAATGTACCCCTGGTGGCCGCCGACCGGCACCTGCACCGGAGCGAAATGTGAACGCGTTTTAACTTTCATCGCGAATGACAGCCCGAAGCGCGTCGAGTGGGATGCGGGCTCCGGGAATCTCGATGGCGTGGAGTTGTTTTTAGTTTGAGAGTCCGAACTCACTACGGCGATGAACCGCTCAGAGATTCTCTCATTGTCCCTCCGCTTTTTGGTGGTTGCGTTTTTCGAGCCCTCGACGAACCTAGGGACCCTCCACGAGTAAGCCGCGATTCCGTACCCCCCTTCCACACGATTAAATAAAAGTTGTGTTTACATAATCCACCTCGAAGAAGGAGAAAAAATGTGTCCTCTGCCACCCCCCCCCCTTTCCACTTTCCCCTCTCCGGTCCTCGTCTTAGTAATTTTCTGCGGATAGTGCAAAGGGTAAAGGAGGGCCCCGGAGGCGGGTCTCTTAATTACTAACCATCCGTTGGAAGAGGGTCCGTGAGGAAGGACGCGGCGACGCGCGCGCCGAGGACAGAGGAGAGTACTGCAAAAAGAAGTCCCTGTTTCTCCTTTTCCTGGTGGGGTGTTGTGTAAGATTTTAGCAGAGATTTGTTTTGTTTTTTTAAGGTCCATGGCCATAACCCTGCTCGCGTATAAAAGGATTTTCGCTGAGAAAAACCATTCTAGAGTCACGGTGACAGGGCGTGAGACAAGAAAAAGTGTTGTGTGGTTTTTTTTTCGCGAAAATTCCTTTGCGACTTTGACGAATACTCGCGACCCCGTCAAATATTTCTGAAGGGTTGGCGGCGCGTTGAAAGGGAATGGAGAGGGGCCGTGTCGGACACTGCGCCATTACCAGACGGGGACGCCCTGGCTGCCGCCCTGGCCGCCGGCCCGCCGGCCTGGCTCGCCACATCCTTGCGATTGCCTGTGTGGGGAGTTCCAGCTTCCAGAGGACGAACTCGGCAAGATGACGACACCCCCCCCCCTTCCACCCCCATTGCCCCACTTGCACCCCTCGCCATTTCCTCTGGGATGTGTTTTTTCTCGTCAGCACTCCGCGTAGCGGGCGGGGCGGGGCGGGGCGCGCCGGCGTGGAGGGACCGCGCCACTTCGCAGCATCCGGAGAAAGTCAGGCAAGAAGCGCAACAACAAGGTCGTCCTGTGTGAGGTCGGGAAATGAGCGAGGCAGAATCAAGTTCGTGTGGCGAGTGCCTTTGACACGCCCGTCCGGTCCCCCCCCCCTTCCCCTCCCCCGCGGCCGCGCCGCCACCCCTGCGCCGCTCGCGATCGGAAATTAATAATTCCCACAATAGCGCAGTATGGCGGGGGATTGGGGGAACGAGCGAGGGAATGCGGAGTGTAGGAAAGCGAGTGGCGCGGCCGGGCCGTGCCGAGCCGAGCCGAGCCGTGCCGAGCCGAGCCGAGCCGAGCCGTGCCGAGCCGAGCCACGCCTCACGCCGCGCAATGCCTCAGCCGGGCCTCAGCCAGGCCTCAGCCCGCCTGTCGTTGGCCCCTTGGCTCCCTGGCCCCTTGGCCCGGCGTAGTAATTGGCTTATTGATGAACGGCCCGTACGCACGCCCCAGCCGCACCGACGCCCCGGCCTCCGACAGGGCCTCGGACAGGGCCTCGGACGCCTTGGAGGAGGCGGACACGAACCCACGGCCTTTTGCAGCAGCTCGCCTTTGCACTTGATTCCCGTACCTCATTTTGTTTCTTTCAACGTGCCACTCCATTCAATGGCAAAAAAATCAATTTTTTTTTTCAAAGGGAAACACTTTTTTTTTTGAAAGAAACAAAAGAAACAGAATGCCCCCTTGAGACGTTGTGGACGACGGCCGAGATAAGCAGCAAGCCGTTCTTCTTTGCCCCCGCAGGACTTCACGCTTGATTTTTACTTTCGCCAATTCTGGACGGACCCCCGGCTGGCCTTCCGGAAGAGGCCGGGCGTCGAGACGCTCAGCGTGGGCTCCGAGTTCATCAAAAACATCTGGGTGCCCGACACGTTCTTCGTGAACGAGAAGCAGTCCTACTTCCACATCGCCACCACCAGCAATGAGTTCATCCGGATCCATCACTCGGGCTCCATCACCAGATCCATTCGGTAAGCAGGGCGACACGCCGCCAACTTTGTCGCCGCCACTTGGACAAGTTCGGTTTGGGGTTTGACATTTGCCAACAACTCGAGAGGACGAAAAGGGGGGGGGGATAATGCCTCGAGGCGGCCGCGTCTTCATTTCCATAGTAGTGTCTCGGAAGGCGAATCCGCTTACAGTGGCGTCGCGTTTGCATAACGGTACACGGTCTGTTCGCAGGTTAACGATCACCGCGTCGTGCCCCATGAACCTCCAGTACTTCCCCATGGACCGGCAGTTGTGCCACATCGAGATAGAGAGCTGTAAGTATGGGCCGGGGACGACGCGCCAACAAAGTGTCTGTCGTGTTTCGGGAAGACTAGCCGATGTAACGTTTTAATGTAACAGCACCGAGGTTCGATCAGAGGATAACAAAGATTGCAGAAGAATAATGTAAAAGACGTGCTGCCTATTTCGGCCGGCGAACGCGGGCTGACGAATGTAGTATTGATAATGTCTCTATTATTAAGTCAATATTGACGGGGTGAACCAGAAGCACTCTCGCATTGATTCAATATGTATTCAGCTTTTCCATTTCAACTCAGTAAACAACGCGACTCTTCAACATTTTTTTAAGCAAGCAGACATCTTTGTGTCTTGTACTTTTCGATATGTTTTAAAGCATGTTCCAAAGAATGGTGTCATCTGCTTACCAGAGCATAATTTCGTAGCGCTGCGCGGCGGGCTCCGGTTCACCCCGGTCGATGTGTGTACCGTCGAACCCAGTTCGAATTTTTTAAGGACTCGGTCGAGACATGATTGTTTGTTGTGTTCCTTGTGTTGTGACTGTACGACCCCGATTGGACGGCCGGCCGGGAGCGCGGCGTGCGAAACAGCGTGGTGACACTCATTGATTCGAATCGACCGCGCGCTCCCGGCCGGCCGGGGCGGGTCCACCTAGCCCAGGGCGTGGCGCGCTGGCGCGGCCCGGCCCGATCCCGAAACTGCACAAAACTAATAACTTGGGCAGAGTGTCCGGCTGGTGGGCCCTCCCCTCCATGTGGGCGCATGACGTGGCGTAGCAAGTTGAGTGAGCCCCGTGGGGCATGGGGCCCTAGGCTGCCCTAGGCTGCCCTAGGCCCTCTGGGCGGGGCGCGGGGCGGGGCGGGCACACCTTAGTCCCGGGCGCCACGGCCGACCCGGGCGCTGCCGCCTCCCCCTTCCCATCTTCCTTATTTTCGGTCTCCTTCTCGAGAACAGCACTGAGCGTCGTGCCCGGGGAAGGAGAGCAGCCTACACCGCAAACACGTTCGCAAAACGACCAAGAGCGAAGCGAGAGATTGTCGAGATCGTAAAAGAAAAGTTGTCAAATTTGTCTAAGTACCGTGAGGATCAGGGGGTGTCCAGAACAAACTGCATTGTGGATCTACTGCAGGCGGGGAGGACGGTGCCATGCCATACTAGCATTTTAAATCTCACAAAGTCAGCCGCCATTTCTAATTTGGAAAACTATCAAAATTCGTTCAAGCCCACTCGAGCAGTGTGCCTGGAATCGCTTCAGCAAGATGCACAACTACGCGCCTGACAACTCTCAAGCTCGATTTCAACTTCATGTTTATATTCATGTCTGGCAACGAGTCTCCCCGCCACTCCAGCATGCTTCCGCTTCCTCACATTCGCTTGTACTCTTTTGATTCATGATTTGATTCATGACTAGAGACACACTGATCATAGGTTTGAGACATTCGAGCGGGATGCCACACTAACGAGCAGGGTTCACGAGTCCGTCCCTCTGAGGCCCCTCTCAAAAGAACGACTCGTCACATCTCATAATTTTTTGTCCGGGGATATGAAAGTTTTTGTTGTTTTCAGTACAACCTTCGCATTAATTGTTCTTGGCTTCGCGCTCTCTGAGTTGGCATCTCGCGAGAATGCGGCTACTCTTAGAGGCACATGGGCTCGACACAAAGTATCGCCGAAAGCAAATGAGAGCAGTGCGCAGTACGTCTGACTGAATCTCCTCGGAAAGCAAGTTCTTCAGTGGACAAGGAGACGAGTCTGTCGCCGCCCCGAGTGCAGGGCCTGCCCCAGGGCCTGCCCCTCGTGCGCGGGGTGGTCGCGATGCGTTTCCTGTGCCAGTGAAAATGCTTTTGGCTCCGTTTTGCGGCGGCTTGTCAAGCATGCAAGGAATGCAGCCTTAGTCGGCCGAACGGAGCTCCACCGGAACAAACCGATCGGTGTGACGCCCCGCACGTCCTGATCGCCTTGCCCGCATCGCACCCTAGATAAGTGCAGTCCAAAGCTTTGGAGGCATCGAGCGACTTTTAACGTCGCTACCGAAAGAGAAAAATTGAAATCAAAACGAAAAAACTGCACACGCACAAGACGCACGCTAAGCTACTTTTCAGTCTAATTTCCGGTTTTGTGAAATTGAAGAGCATAATGCGGCAGCACCGAGCTTTACGGCCTGAGCCAAAGTCACGGACGGGGATCAAATTTGCTGCCAATGCCCTGCCTAAATTTGGCACTCTGCACCCAGTTTCCACCCTCTTCAGTTGCACAAAACGGGGAGTAGAGACTTTGCACTGCAACACTCTCATTGATCGTCACTCTCTTTCATTCACTGTAGCGCATGCCCTTTGTTCGCTTCGATAGTTCGCCTTGAATCTCTTGCCACTGGATTAAGGATTTTGGCACCTGGTGTGAGCAGAACACTTTGAGTCTCGTCCGACGCGGGGAGACATCAACTCTCCTGAGGATCGGGGAACCTGCCGCTTTACCCGCCTAACGGGCGAGTCCCGTTCACACTTAACCTTTTTTCTAGTCATTTTCATATTTCTTCTATTTTGTAATAATGGTCGTGATGGGATGCAAGACAAACGACCGTTTCCTGAGGACCTTAGATTACGCGGATTTTGGTCAATGTCTAATAGACAACTTCATGACAGCTTCCTATTTTCGTTCCGATTTTCTTGAGACGTTGACTGCGTTAAATTGGAGGCTTGGCTGATGGCCACCTCCTTGCCTTTTGCCAGCGACGCCGAGTCGCTAGTTTCGACATTCTGGAGGTCGAGACGAGAACCTGCTCACGGACACCCAAGGGCCAAGGTGTCGGTCTTCCTTTGGCTTGGTAGTGCGATGCAGACGCTGCCCGCCCGGCCGCTGTCCGCCGGAGGATCTCCGCTGTAGGGTCTCCGCTGGAGGGTCTCCACTGGATAGTCTCTACTTGAGATCCTCCGGAGGTCGGCGATCGGGCGTCGCGGCCGTTGTGAACAGTTAATAGCCTGGAATGTGTGAAGTTTGATGGTGTGACCTGTACTCTTGTTCTTGTACTACGTAATGTAGATGTGTAATGTTGTCTCCGCGCGTCGGCATGTGGCGTGTCCCTGGCCGCCTCGGCAGAGGCTGGGGCAACCCTCGGGCCTCCCTGGCGGCCAGGACCTCGCCGCACACCGACGCGCGCTCTCCTTCTTATAGAGGATATACGTTTTAGTTCATTTCTTCTCTTTTTTTATTTTTTTGTTTTGTGTCTCTCACACACAGTTGGGTACACAATGCAAGATATTCGGTACAAGTGGATGGAAGGGGTACACTCAGTGGGTATTGCCAAAGAGGTGCAGCTGCCTCAGTTCCGAGTCCTCGGGCACAACCAAAGAACGTCTGAAGTTAGCCTGTCCACAGGTAGTCCTGGATCTCTCCTAGGTTTAAGCCATGCTTGTTTGCATTCTCTTCTTCACCTCTCCTTCCCCGAGCCGAGCCGGGCGGAGCCGAACTCTCCTGCTGTCGAGGGCTCTTCCTCAAAGTAAATGCGGTCAAGGGAGCCTCGCACAGGGAGTTGTCTGGTTCCGAACGTCGAACAAAAGCGAGGCCGTTGCCACCCGACAAAAGTCCTTGTTTGGATCGTTAGCGGGCTCCCTGCACCGGTCCCCCCCGCCACCCGTCAGGGCGTCCACGGCGTCCACGGCGTCCACGGCGTCCGCCAAATTCGCTTCCTTTTGCCAGAATCGTCGTCCGGCCGGCGGCTCTCGCTTTTCTTCGAGCTCTTTGAACGCTTTTTTTCCAAGGTGTCGCTTTGGCCTGCGAGCCGACCCACCTCGTGCACCCAAACCAATATGGCGGAATTGGGCTTGTCTGAGCCGCCACTCACTTGTCGTCCGTTTGTGCTCTCACTCACTCACTCTTTCGCCACCAGGGAGTGAGCCCTCACGTCGGGGCGCTGCGCGCGCGCGCCACGCGCCACCAGCCTTCTTTTTGACTCGTCAGTCCGTTGGAACTGAACTGGAACGCTGGTTGGCTGGCTGGCGCGCGGGCGCAGCGTCGCCCTCCCCGCCCCCCGGCCGCGGTGCGGTACCGCGGTCTGGGCCGTGCCGCGGCATTGCGGCCCTGGAGCCGCGGTCCCGGCCGCGGTGCCGCCGACCAGCACAGCCCGCGGCAAGCACCTACCAGTGCGGGAGCGCCCATAGCCTCGTGTTGATGTGTTGTTTGGCCGCGCCGTCGGCGAGGGCCCCCCAGGACCGGGCCCCGGGCGGGCTGCGCCTGGTGGGGCTCCGCCTGGTGGGCCCCCGCCGGCGGCGCGGCGCGGGCGGCTCCCGCCTTGTGGTGGGCTGCGGGGGGCGGCGGTCTGGTGTGCAGGTAAGTCGCAAGCCGCATTGCTCATGCCGACTCTTTTCTCTGTCCAGTCGGGTATACAATGAGGGACATCCGCTATAAATGGAACGAGGGGCCCAACTCGGTGGGGGTGTCGAACGAGGTTTCTCTGCCGCAGTTTAAAGTCCTGGGGCACCGTCAGAGAGCTATGGAAATTAGTCTGACCACAGGTATCACTCGCTCTACACCCTCAACCTCTTCACAATCTTTCGTTTTCTGTTTGAGTAGATTATGTCTGCTGCTGCTGCAACCAGTCTGAGCCGTGCAGTAGGGCGGCAGGACGTGATTCGTGCATGTCCAGTCATGTTGACCGATGAGCCGAGGCGGGGTGGGGTTGGGGTTGCCACACGGGGATCAAACGGCCGCATGGGCCACCCCGACCTCAAATCAGACCAAAACGCGATTGTTTTCATTCATCTTTTTTGTCTCGGCGCAAAGCCTTGCGGTAGCGCTCACAGCTGGCAACCCTAACGTCTAGAAAATAGTCACAATCACCACGCGCAAAATAAATTGATAGATAAACGAATCGTGTTGCTAGGATAGGGCATTACACTAGGGTTCATTGGTTCACGCTTGAAGGAGAGTTCCCGTGCTCACTCTGCATGCTAGAGTAGTGAACACAGTTCTGATCTCTCCAGCAGCTTTTTTCGTAGAACGCAGTCTTTTTCCCGTTCATACTTTTCACGTTATTTTTTCATATTTCTCGCGTTGTATATATTCCCCATAGACAATATTTGTCTAGGAAAACAATACTCGCATTTCTGCTAAATTTTGCACAGACAAATCTAGCTACATTCACAATTTCTTGCTATCACGATAGTGCTGCTTTCAGGTATAGTAAAGCCTTCAGAATTCAAGGTCAGTGGTAATTCCAAACTACTTGGTAAGTCATTTTAGTTTTCATCGAAAGTGATAACAAAACCCTTAAAACCCACGAAAGAAGTACTTAAAACTACGCCTTTTTAATAAAGAGCAATGTACGCTCACACATTCGCGTTTTTGTTGTTTTCTATTTTCTTCGTTCCTAGTTTGCATAATCTGACGCAGCAGCCCAACTGACGTGGCTCCAACGGCGCGGTAAGAGTTTTCCTTTCGAGAACGAATGAACAAAAGACATTTGTTTCGTAACGCATAAGACATCAGAAGGCAAATGGGGCGGTCTGCAGGCTGCGCTGCACTCGAAGAGGCGGCCGGAGAGCGCCTGTGAAGTCCAGGGTAGGCCACCGGGCGGCTGCTGCGTCTTGCGGGACGGCCTACCCTGCGTCTCGCAGGCGCTCTCAAGCCCCACATGCAGTTCTCGCGGTGCAACAACGTTTAACTCTCTATTAACCTCTGCAGCATCTAGCATCAGATTAAATTAAAACAAAAATTTTGAGTCTTAAAAAATTTAGGCCCGAGATCCAGCTAGCAGGACGCAGGTAAGGTGGGATGAAAAAATATTGAAAAATGAACTGGGTGCTAGAGACGCTACTTTTTGATTTAGGGGTTTATACGCTTTGCAATATAGAAATAATGTTCAACGTTCTACCTTATATCTTAGCAAAGAATGCCATTATAGCGTTTGTATACATTTGCATGTGTTCTTTTTCGTAGTTTTCACTCTGTAGTCCATTTTAATAGTACTTTAAAGAACTTTTCATTTTCTATCCGTACAGTTGTTTTTATAGATAAGTTTAGAACTTTTTTCAAACCTTTGCGATACGTCATACATACTTGAAAGTCAAGTGGCGCAGCCCCTTATATTCGCAACAATCATTCTCAATGTGTTACAAATTAAGCCTCAAAGATTTTTCTTAGTGTAGAGTCGCGTATCCCTTTTTTGCTGCGTATTTATGACGAACAGCGAAGACTCCATGTTTTAGAATTTTGCAATACCTCGAAAAAGAAATACTTATTTGATCATTAATAAATTTAAATTATTTTCAAACGTCTCTTGCAAATTGTAAAGTAAATAAAGAGCTCACCGTTAGCTTTATACGAACAGTCGCTTTCACAGTGACATGGCAAAATTCCTTCCGTGGTTTTCGAATTCGTTCCGGTCTGACAGTGTGCCTGTGTCTCCAGGAAACTACTCTCGGCTGGCGTGCGAGATCCAGTTCGTGCGGAGTATGGGCTACTACCTCATCCAGATCTACATCCCCTCGGGGCTCATCGTCATCATCTCCTGGGTCAGCTTCTGGCTTAACCGGAACGCGACGCCCGCCCGAGTGTCGCTGGGAGTCACCACCGTGCTCACCATGACCACGCTCATGTCCTCCACCAACGCCGCGCTGCCAAAGATTTCCTACGTCAAATCCATCGACGTGTACCTGGGCACCTGTTTCGTGATGGTGTTCGCTTCGCTTCTAGGTGAGAAGGGTGGAAGGCAAGGCCGTTTTCTTCCTATTTCCGGTTTTCCTCACAATTTCTCGTTTGCAGAGTATGCAACGGTCGGCTACATGGCCAAGAGGATCCAGATGAGGAAGAACCGGTTCCTGGCCATCCAGAAGATAGCCGAGCAGAAGAAGGCGGGGGCCGAGCTGCCGCCGGAGGGGGAACACGCTCCGAAGCAGACGGTGAGCCGCACGACGCACGCGCACGATGCACGAGTAAACAGTCACCCTCTTAAATTCAAGTGATTCCTGCCGCGTAAATCACCGTCGGCAATTTACGTTTAAAAAAACGTTCGCAGGCATTTTGCCATGGCCTGGATTAAAAATGAAAAATTAAACTGAACTAGATAAACAATAAACCTGGTACAAGTTAAACCGCTTTGGCCGGCTGCAACGCCCATGTCACTTTCAGCACTGCAGCGTGCGTCAGGAAGGACAGCCTTTCTGAGACGCGGGCTACAGCTGCTGAGCGTGAGTTGAGCGTTCCAAGTTTGTCCAAACTAAATAATTCCACGCTTGATGTTGTTTCAAGAAGAGTGTGTTTTTGTTTCCTCGTTTTCCGGAGTCTGAGCCAACCTCCTCAGGCCAAGAACCCGGTTCTGGTTCCGGTTTTTTTGGCCGGCAGGGTGGCATCCGAGGGGTGGTCCTGACTGTCTGCAACCCTGCCGAAGGCCTGGCTCAGGAACCAGCCCAGTTTCTTGGCACAAAACATGCCAATAAACTGAGCAGTTCTGTTTTTTCAGTAGTTTGAAATGGAATGAGAACAAAACACACAGAGAAAAAGAAACGGTCAGTAATTGGCACCCAAAGGTTGTCTTCGGCTCTCGGCGCGAGGTTCGAGGTTCGCCCAGGTCCGCCAGAGTGTGAGGTTGCTCGGCATGACGTCAGAGAGTATGGTGAACCAACCGGCCGCGCTCACCCGTGCTGTACACGAGAAACTTTAACTTTTGTCCCTGACACCAAAAAAAAGAGATTTGCTTGTTCCTTTCCTGCTCTTTCAAAAGGCGGTCGTCCTGGCCGCACCAGGCTTTCCCACTCTGTCTCTCTCTACTACTAGGTTGCACTGCTTCAGGTTGGCCCGCAGGTGCAGGTGGCGGGGCGGCGGCAAGGGAGGGGAGGGGGGCAGGGCGCCTGCTGTCGGCTCCACGTCTCCGGCCCCTCCGGCCGGCCGAGGCGAGCCGAGGCGTGCCGAGGCCCCGGCAGGGTACTCGGAACACACAAGATTAGCGAACCCCGGACGTGTTCTTTCGGCTCTGTTGTTCCAAATCGTGGGTTAGCTCGCCGCTGGGCCACAGGATCGGGGCTTCGATATTGGATCGGAGCGATGCAAGCGGCGGTCGAGACAAAAAGTTAGTGACGGTAGCGTTAACGCGTAGCAGGCAAGCAGGCGTAGCGGCTCCGCCCTTAGGTCCGTAGGCCCTTAGCACACGCTTGGCGACGTGAGGGACGCCAGGGACAGTTTGGCGTGGCGTGGTGGGCGGACGGCGAGGCTCGGCGGCGGTTGGTCACCATACTCGCAGGTCGGTGAGGTGGGGCCCACTCTGTTGCAGGCCGTGCGGTTCATAGTTCACGACCCTAGGGCGTACTCGAAGGGCGGCGAGCTGGTGAGCTCGGTGAACGGTCGCGGCGGGGATTGCGAAAGTAGGCCCGCCTCGCAGCCGCTGCTGCTGCCGCACCCCACCAAGGACTACAACAAGCTGCTCGGCATCACGCCCAGCGACATAGACAAGTACTCGCGCATCATCTTCCCCGTGTGCTTCGTGTGCTTCAACCTCATGTACTGGATCATCTACCTGCACATCAGCGACGTGGTCGCCGACGACCTGGTGCTGCTGCAGGAGGACAAGTAGTGTGTGTGGTCCGACTGGTCCGGCCGGTGCGACCGGTCCGACCTGTCCGTGTGTAAGTACGGCGCTCGCAGCGCCGCGTGCATGCGTGCCTACAGCGCCTGCTGCATGTCGTGCCAACTCCCCATAGTCGCGGCCGTGTGTGTGCGTCTGCGTGCGTCTGTGTGCGTGCACTGGGGGTCGTGGACGAAGCCGCCGGGGAGTTTTCATTTCGACACACAACGCTCCGCCAAAATTCCGCAAAAGAAAAAAGGAATAAATATGGGTGCGGCCCTTTTGACTGAAAAATGCCATGGACTTAAAGTCCTCCGCCTCGGCGTCTTGATCCACGATTCGCCAGACCAGCGCGTCTGTGGGGCGTCGCTCCGCCGCCCAGACAGGCAGACACGTCAGCCAAACACGTCAGCCAGACACGTCAGCCACGGCCCGCCGCGACGGTCGAACTGAAGGACAGCTCAATGTGTTGGAACAAGGGTGTTATCTGTATAAGCGAATGCTCACATGGCCAAACAAAAATACAGTGTCACGGATGCCGTCTTCGGCTCCGTCTTTGTTCTCAGCGGTAATACTCCTGTTGGCCTTCCGTCACAACGCGCAACGTGAAAATGGTCGGAACCCCCTCGGACTGTTAGGTGGGGCCTTGAGGCACCACACTGCCAGGGCGGCCAGGGCCATATCGTACATATCAATGCCGGCATCGGCTGCATCGACTGACATCAGCTTTGTGCTTCAACGACGCGCAGTGCACAAAATGTGTCTTCGATTGAGCAAATTTTGCGCACATAAAGAGTCTATACTTCTTATAGTTTTTATATGGAGAGCTGAACATTGGCTCAAGCTCATGCCTGACCGGTGTGTTAGATTCATTTAGATGTAAGGGGCTGAAGGGCCGAGTCGTGTGGTTCTCGTCAATTTGGACCACTACCGAACCAGATGCCAGGGGGCAATTCTTCCACAAAACGTAGCAAGACCTTATATGATAAACATGGCATGTGTTTCGTCGATAAGTTTCTAAGTTACACCATGCCAAATATATGAATAAACTAAGTAAGGGCCGGAACTATGCACCTTCTTGGCCATATTTCTTCCACGATGCATTTTTGTGGGTCTTGAGGTATTCATAAGATGGCGGCTCATTCAGGTTTAATGTGTAAATGATATGCTCTTTCCTCTTCCATAATTTATTAATTACTCTGCCTCGATTTTGTTTTGGGTCAAGACCCACTATTTATAATCCTCAATCCATGAAAATATTTGCGGATTTTCGTCTTGCAGCTCATGGTTTTTTAAGCATACCAAGGATTTCTTAATTACTCGTTAAGAAGAACATGCTGCTGGGCAAATGTCCCTTGTACTTTATTCATGTTTCGTAAATATTTTCGTGGACTTTCGCCAAATGGCATTCTGGTTTTATTTCTTCTTGCCGTGTAATTTCAGAGAAAATTACGCTCCTACTTGTATATGTACACCGTGTCCTTCCCTTTCACAGCGTTTATCGATGGACGAAATTGTGTTGTCACTATTTACTCTGATGTGATTTTATAAGTATTAAATGGATAATAATATGTGATTCTAATTACTCCTAGCAATTACTCATATTAGTAAAATCCTTGCCGTCGAATTTCGTCCTATCGAAGATAGATTTCTCGGTCATAACATTGGCACAAGAGCCTTAAAAAATTATGTAGCATTTATATACCTTTCAAATTACTCTATAAGATGGGCAGGATTAATAGAAATCGTAGATGTTCGAAGCGTATGATTTTATAAGAAAGACCACAGACTCGATCAACTCTCAACACTGTAAAATGGACCACCATTGGTAAATCTTTGGCTTTCTGGATGCACACTGAGCTGGTAACCGATCTGTAACCATCGTGACTGTGTTGAATAAAGAGAGATGCAATGCTGACTTCCTGTGTGCCCCTTTCTCGGCCGTCGCCATGGGAAGCACTGGCCGAACCTCTTCCCTGTCCGGGTTGCCTGCAATGCCTGCTACAGTAGCACAGCACTTGTCGAGCCGTTAGCACTGTAGGACACGAGTCCCGCCTACATGCCGCGTGCCGCGCGCCGTGCAGCGCCGTGACGACATGCCAGGGCACTGCCAGGCACAGCCAGCAAGGCGCCAGGGCGGCCGTCTACAGGGATGCCAACCGCAAGCAGGACGACCGAAGCGCCACTTTGTTGAGTATGCTCTTTTTCCAAAGACTTGTTCGCGGGGGTCACTGCAACAGACGCCAGCCGACCACCGACATGTCGCTTCGTAGTGAGGGTTTCTTTTTTTTCCGCCGCCACCGCCACTGCCACTCGCCTCCTTTCCTTCCCTGTGACCAGACTGGAGTGGGAGGGAACACGAGTAGACACACAACTAGCCTCAAACCCCAAAGCACTGTGCCAAGTTTCCGTGTACTAAACCTACCAAAAACTCCATAGTGCAGAAGTTGTTTTTACTATCCTTCTCATAGCACTCTCCTTTTTCTCTCTTTTTACTTTTGGAATCCAAAGTCTATTCTTCAGCTCATACTGTTCTCTAGTGCATGAGACGTCGAACGCGTTCGACACAGAAATAAGACAGTTTCTAAAACAAAATTTCTGAAACGGATTGCTTTGTAAACCAACTGTAGCGATACTCTCTGATGGCAGACGCAGACCGTCCTGCCAGCAAGCCGCCTCGGTGCACCGGTCATCGAACCATTCTGTTATCTAGACACGACTAGGCCACTGTGCATGCCTAATCTACATGTGTGTGTGTGTGTGTGTGTCTAGGGTGCGGCCGGCGCCCCTCCAGGGGGATGCGGCCCGATTCCGGGAAACTCGCACGCCTCCACTCATTACCAATATGTAAGTTGAAGTAAACACCCTGAGGTGCAGGCCTCTCGAGTGGGGGCAGGCCCGCCCAGCCAGAGCCAAAGTTGGCAGCAAACTTGTTCGTGTTTACTATTTGCCGAGGCAGCCGGCCCGGGCCGGCCGGGCCCAAGGGCCGGGCCTGGCCTGGGCCGCGCTGCAGCCTTTGACATGACCTGCGTTTTGCAGGTGGCCCTGCAGGGCGCCCCGAGCCACGGCAGCAGAACACACACCCTTCCAGGACACGGGGGCCACGGGGGCCACGGCCACCACGGTAGTCAACACGGCCCCATGGGTCCGATGGGTCCGATGGGGCCCATGGGAGGCCCCATGGGACCCATGGGAGGCCCCATGGGAGGCCCCATGGGACCCATGGGGGGTCAGATGGGCGGCCACGGCATGTCCCACAGCGGCTACGGCCCCATGGGCCACGGGTCACACAGCATGTCGGGGCCCCACGGGGGGTCGGGGCGGGACGTGCGGGACGTGCGCTACGGGACTGTGTCCAGGACGGGCAGCTCTGGGAGCGCAGCGGCCAGCGAAAGAGTTGAGTTTGTCCGCACTACCGGTGTAGCTCCTCGTAGCCTCTATCTGTCTGTCTGTGTGTATGTGTTAGTGTCTGCTGGCCCCGGCGGCCCCGGCGAGGCCGCTCCCTGCTGTGGACCCAGGCCGAGGCGGCCGCGGTCAGCAGAGTGGTTGCATTTTGCGGATGAGAATCGGCTGTAGGCCACATGGTAGGGACGGGTCAGTGCGTTGCGTAGTGCCCTCAGCGAGCGTAAAGGAGAGAGACAGCATTAGGTCGGAAAGGAAGACATACTTACTGCCTTGGCTTGGCGTGCTTGCCGGCGGGACTTGTGACTACAGGGTGGAGTCTGGTCGACTCCGCCGCATGGAGTAGTTGGTTAGCGATCTCCAGTACCTGTGCACTCCTCGTCCTAACGACCCACACCGCTTGTAGACTGTTGGCTTCACAGCGCTGGGTAGGTTTAGAGGAATAGATAGAAAACATAAGACAAGACCCTTGAAGTAGTTTGACTTGTTTGTTTCAAGCTCAGTATGTAGTTCGTGGCCAACAGCCACACGTGTTGCTGGTCAGTGTTATTATAGCACGGTGTGTTCTTTTCTCTAACTCACTTCTTTCATTCTGTCTCTATCCGTCTTTCTGGTTAGTAGCTTGGCCGTCTATCTGCATGTATTGTCTGCACCGCCGAGTCGACGCAGACTCGGTTTTTAGCACTTACACTGAGTTTGTTCTCGGTTAGTTTGAAACACGAGTAGAATCAGAGCTGCCAGAAACGTGCGCCTGATGACTAGCGGCCTTCGCACTGCCGTCCGGCCCTGGCCCTACAGTGGCTCTACGCAGTCCGGCGACGCATTTCTGGCAGAACTGTGACCATTCAGCCTAGCGCTCTAGAACTCTTCTAGTAAAGCAGTTACCGGTAAAAGTGCCGCCTTGAAATTTCAAATCTGTCCAATTTTGTTCGAGACGAATGGTGATTTGGACAACTTTGCAGACTCAACCCCTTGGAAATGACCAAGGCGTTGAAGGCGGCCCTTTGACCGCGCGGCCTCCGCGTCGCGCTTTGCAACGGCCTGCCCTCTTTGTAACGGGTTGCACGGTTGCAGGCGGTGCGGTTCCTGCAGCACGAGCAGCAGCAGCGGCAGCAGAGCCAGCCGCCCACGCCCAAGGCCAGCCACCCCAGCATGGAGGCGCCGGCCAACGGCGGCACGGGCGAGGACGGCGGCAGCAGCGGCCTCACGCCGCAGCACGTCATGGTGGCCGGCAAGGACATCAACAAGCTGTGCGGGCTGTCCTCGTCCGACATAGACAAGTACTCGCGCATCATCTTCCCCGTGTGCTTCGTGTGCTTCAACCTCATGTACTGGATCATCTACCTGCACATCAGCGACGTGGTCGCCGACGACCTGGTGCTGCTCGGTGAGGACAAGTAGTCTTCCCGGCGGCCACGCGTCACAGTGTCAATTCTTGTGTTTCTTTCTTGTTCCCCTCATCGTTTCCCTTTTCGTCTTGGTTTCCTCCATCATCTTCCTCATCCCTTTTTTTTCGTTGTGACTTTGTAGTCGAGTGCGTTTAGCGGACGATGAGGCAACGCGACACGACGGGACCCATGAAACTTGAGACAAAAAATGACTCAGTCCTGACCAAAAAAGAAAGGAACAAGGGTGAGGCGCGTGTGAGCTCAAAGTGCGAAACAAGGCGTGGATGGAATGCACTTTAAATGCTGTGCTGACGGGACGTCGACGTCGGCTCGACCGCCAGCCACATATCTGTGATCTCTGGAAAGTCAAAACCTTTCAAAAGAAAATCCACAATAAAAGGCCAAATAACGCACCCTGCCATGGGTGACAACTCGTAGCCAAATGAAGGCGCAGTATGTTTCATGAATGCCCACAGGTTGGGGCACCTTCCCGCGCGGAAACTAGCTGCGGGTTCGAATACAGTTTTTCTTTTGTTCATCCTCTTCTTCTTCTTCTTTCTCAGTTCCCCCGGAGATTGTGTAGCCGAGTCAATTGGTCTGCGGCTTCGCCAAAGGCCCCGCCAAAGGCCCCGCCAAAGGCTCCGCGCGGGCCCAGCAGCCCCCAAGGGGGCCCCCCAGCCCCTTGTCTTCCCCTCGGCCTGTGGGAAGGCCCAAACAGTTCCCCACACTGTGCCGACTGATAGTTTAATACTGTTTTCTCAATGGACGAACTAAATAGCAAAACGATGGCACTTCAGAATAAGAGTTAACGACAATGCATACGAAATGAGTTCAAACGGAGAAAATTGGGAAGAATGGTGCTATACCTGGTACACACGCCTGGTTGTGACAAAAGCTGCCTTTATACTTAGAGGCACTCGCCGTTCGCCCCTCCGCGCCCCCGGGGCCCCCGGGGCCGCCGGCCACCCCACCAGCAGTAGGCTAGCCCAGCCTTTCCCCAGCCTGCAGCCCCGTAGTACCGCAAACCCGCCCGGGTGGATCGGAGCCTCCGCCGATCCTCCTCGGCCACCTCAGGCCTAGCCTCGCACCACCTCAGGCAGCCTCAGGCCTAGCCTCGCGCCACCTCAGGCAGCCTCAGGCCTAGCCTCGCACCACCTCAGGCAGTCTCAGGCCTAGCCTCGCACCACCTCAGGCAGTCTCAGCCTCAGGCCTAGCCTCGCACCACCTCAGGTAGTCTCAGGCCTAGCCTCGCGGGGGCGGTTCCAGCGGGCGCGTTTGGCCGAATGGACTTTTCCCGGGGAGAGCGCCACCGCGGTCCAAAGCTGATTCAAAGCTCAAGTTAAGCTCAATGTAATGTTCCCCGTGGGACCGCGTGGCCTCTCCCCGAAGCACATTCACTCTAGGTTCCAGTACTGTATGTATATATTTTTCACCTCTAGAAAAATCAAAATTGGTTGGAAGTGGAGAAAGGGTTCGGGGTTTATAATTTGTTTATGGGGGCATCGACGACACCAGTCTGTATAAGTCTGTATCCTGTGAGGTTTGCGTTCAAATGTGTCAGAGAGATATGTGTGTGTGTGATAGAGAGTGTGTGTGTGAGTGTGTCTGTGCCCGGCCATGTGCGGGAGTGTGCGTGCGTGCGAGTGTGTGAGTGCCTGTGATGTTCGTGCGACAGTAGCTCTCTTGTAGTAGTTTGTAATGACGGTGAGGCAGTGCCCGCCAGTGTCGCGAAACGTTGTTTAAAAAAATGCAAACCGTGACAAAAAAAATCAATGTACCAGTTGTGGCAAACTGTGCTCGCCAGAGCCACCTCCCTATGAGAGGAGCAGAAAATGAGCCTGAAATTTGGCACATTCGGCGGTGGCTCCGTCGGCCACAGTTTCCACAGTCCCCACCACCAGCCGGGCGTCGGCTGCCGAGGGCTGCGGGGGTGGTTCGGGGTGGTTCGGGGTCGCCCCACCCTGCCCCACCGCCCCCGCGGCCAAGACGGCGGCGCAGGCTGGCTGTCACGTGCACGCGGCTCAATCCTTTCGTCTCATTGCAATATATTTCTTATAATAATACACACCCACACAAAACACAAAACACTACTATGTACTATAAAGTAACTTATTACACATATTTTATACACATCAAACTATTATTCAGACATAACTATGAGTCGCGGTTAATGAAAAAAGATACTTTTAAAGAATGTAGTAGCAGATTTAAGAAGATTTAAAAAACTAAGGTTCGTGGTATCGGTCATTTCGTTGTGATAAAATGCCAAGCGCTGCGGCCGGCCAGGAGACTGATGTGGCCAACTCGGGGAGCCCCGCAGGGAGCCCCGCAGGGCCGGCCGCCGGCAGGGGAAGAAAATATTATGGTTTTATATACGACGGTGTACATGACTCTTAGCATAGCGGCACACTACGCGTAGCCCCGGGGCTAAACTCTTTCCGGTAGCCAGACTGGGGCCCACTGAAGCTGAAACGTCCATGGTAGAAAAGCCTCCTTAGCGAACCGACCGCGTTCGTCGCCTCGGCCCCGCCGGCACTCCGCCCCCAAACCCAACGGGTGCTACACCCATCCCCGAAGGCCAGCCCGAAACTAGTTCCCTAGGAAGTAAACAAGGTCTAGTGTGTCTAGCTAGCTCGTGCCAAAGTAAAAAGGGCTGCCCCCTCCGCCCCCTCCCCTCGGCCCTCCCCGCCTCTCAGCCTCCCAGCTCCACTTTAAACTGGCTGTGATATGAAGCTACGGAACCCATTCGGACGTCACTCCCCGCCACGGGGCCCTGGACGCACGGGGCCCCTCCCTGAGTGCCGGTCGGAGGCCCCCCGCGCGGGGCAGTTCGTTATTCTAAAGCTGAGGCCCCGCTTGGGGCCCAGCACTCTCCAGCTGACCAGCAGGCTGGCCGCGCCGGCCGCGCCCCGTCACGCCGCCCCTTCACGTGGCTCGCCAAAGGACTGCCGCTTCGGCCGGGCTTTGAACCCGGGACCGTGGTGCCCAGGGCGGCGTCCGAGACTGGAGTTCGGCCGGCACGGCCGCCGAGAGAGCGCGCCACGCTGTTGTCTGCCTGCTCAAATTCCTTCAATTCCTTTCATTTTCTAAAAACAGAAAAGGTTTTCCGTTGGTAAATTCATTCTGAAATTTCGCTGAATACAGTCCTCCCAGACCGGGATGACGCGGTCGCGGTCGGACGGTGATTTTGGACCAATAAACGAAATGGTGAAGGAAGGGGCGGCCGGCGATGGCAGCTCGTGGCGCACTGTCTGCGGTCGGCAGCTCCGTCGGCCCCCGCCAGGACCAAGAGGGGCAGGACCGCGAGCGGGACTCGGCCAGCGGGACCACCCTGACGGAGTCCTGCCCCGACTGTCCTGCCGCCCCGAGGACCGCGGGGGTCGCGACGGAGCAGCCCAGCCCCGCGCGCGGGCGGCGCCGTCCGCGGTCGATTCGTCGTGTCGACATTCGTCATGTCGGAACTTAGTGTTGTCACACCTATTTATTCTTGTAGAAACTACCTTCCTCCTTCGAGTGCATGCGAGCAGCGGGCATACCATGTAAGATACGCATCGCTCCGTAACGTTCTTGTCGGTTGTATTGCTCAAAAGAAATTTAAAAAAATAAAAAAAGGTTCAGATAATGATAGTTAAAAATGAAAAGAGTTGTGATGTCGAGTGATTATGTGATTAAAAGTAACTATGAATTAATTGCGATAACTGACTTACATGAAAAGCACATACATTGTACCGAAACAAGTGGCTAAGTGTCATGGATGTCGGTGTGAAGCCGGGGATGCCTACTTCCGTTCTCATCACTTCAACTCACTTCAAAGTGGCGACAATGTGACGAGAAACAGTCTCATGTCTCAAAACTTGTATTGTAAGATTTTTTATTAATTTCAGTCGTTTCAGTCTGTTAAATGGAAACATTTTCCCGCGTGGCTTGTCTGAGTTGAGCACGCACCGAAACGGTTGTTCCTTAGGGCCGCCTCCCTGCCAAGTACTGACCTTCGTGTAGACGTCTTTCCGTGTCTTTACGTCGCCAGCGGATGCCAGCGGCGACGCGGCTCGCTGCGACGAACCAAGACGAACTCTAACTCTCCCTCTGAGGCCCAAGGAACACCGCGACGCCCGCTTGCCCGCTTCCACCCACTTCCACCCCTCTCACCGCGAGACAGCATCATCCATGCCGCGTCCATGCCGAGCCACGTTTTGGGATGCAGATCGTACAAGAATGTGTAAATTTTAGGAACTACTACTGTGTAACAGATTCTGTAAATTATGTGAATGTGGTGGAGCATGTAGCATTGCTCACTAAACGGTTATTCTAAAGAGAAGCGGAATGTAAACTAATGTATATACACACATATATTGTTATAAGGATTTATATATGTGTGTGTGTATATATGTATACACACATATATATTATATATATGTATATGATGTATTAGAGATTCGTATAAAATTTGGGTTGTTTTTATTTCAATAAAAGCTATCAAGGGCATATTATTTGCTTCATTTTCCCCATTGCATCACACTGCTTCGTCCAAACAAAACCAAACAAATCGAACCGAGTGGATTTCCCTGGATTTCCCCCGCGAAGTACACAAACGTAAAAAAAAGGAAAGATCGCGTGCCACCTCTGACCATCATATGGAGAAAAAGTAAAATGAAATGAAAATTCTGCGTAAAGAGAATATAAAATAATTTTGACGGCCCGTTTAGAGCGCTCAAGGAAAACACGGAGAACGCTGAGGTCATTTTGACCTCATGCGACCGAGTGGTTGGCAACAATGTCGACCGTTCCGTAAGTTAGTGGCGGCGGTGGGTGTTTTTGTTTTTGTTTTTGTTCACGCACTGCGTTTTGCCTAGCCCGTCAGTTTGTGCCGCACTGTTTGCGTTTCTAACAAACTCTCCGTTTCTTTTTATCTTGGTTCACACTATCCTCTCAAACTTCCTTTTAATAGAATGGCTGACGAAGATTTCGATGTTGATGAGTAAGTGGAATGTGTTCACGGACAATATCTTGTGTCACCCTTTCATCGAGCCTGAGGCCTTGATAGGTTAAGCCGACAGCAAAACATTGCTTTTCCTTCACGTTCATTTTAAAATACGAACTTTTATCTTCCTTTTTCTTTTTATTATTATTTATCGTCTTTAGAAGTCTAGAGAAACTGTCATTCCCGTCCTTGAAACTGTCATGATGATTACAGCTTCTCACGTCTGTGATGATATCATTGCTTTTCATTATTTCCAGTGCCGGATTGGGAGAGGACTTCGACGATGTGGAAGACGATGAGAACATCGAAGAACTTGATCAGCAAGAGGTTAGTTTAATTTATTTGATGTTGTGAAGTTTCCATTCAGAATATACTGAGGTATCTATTCAGAGTGTGGGCCTGCAGTGCATACGTTGCGATCGATTAGAAAATAAACTGCACTTTAGCATGTGCACCTTTGATATCCTAATTCATTTCACTTTTCCATGATCAGGAACAAGAAAATGTTGACATTCTGGCTGCGGGAGCTGCTGGTGGCGGAGTAGCCAAATCTAAGAGGATTACAACACGATATATGACAAAGTAATAAGATCGCATCTTAGATGGTTTTGTTATGGTCTGATGAGTTTGAATGTTAACCGGGCTCTTTGATTCATTTCTAGGTATGAAAGAGCAAGAGTGCTGGGAACTAGAGCGCTTCAAATAGCTATGTGTGCACCTGTCATGGTTGAGTTAGAGGGTGAAACTGACCCACTCCAGATCGCTATGAAGGAATTAAAACAGCGCAAGATCCCAATTGTCATCCGAAGATACCTTCCTGATCAAAGTTACGAGGACTGGGGTATTGACGAATTGATCATCATTGATCACTGATTTATGTTACCTCCAACTTCCCAAATGTTTATACTCCTCCCTTTCCAGTACCTTATAAGTTAGTTTTACTGTCTAAGACAATTAATAAATTTCAAAATCAAACTCCTTGTAATCTCATTTATTAGGCCAGCCCGAACATGGGGAATAATTTTAGCCTCAGCATGTTTATATTGCAGTACATACATGCTCGCCTTAATTAAGCAGCTACTTTCAAAGTTATCACAAATACCTTTCAACATGGTTGACTCCCAAACACCACCCTCAGCTTTTCAAGGGTAAAATTTAAACATAACATACAGGCACTTTCTTTGTGCTTTAAACAAGAGACATGTTACAAATCTTGTTCTTCTACTCCATTAGATCCTCCATTTGAACACATGAATTAACAGAGTATTATCAAAGTCAGGTTTATAATCATACTAAAGCCTTCACAATACTGAAAATTCAGGAAGAAAGTAATTCCACAGTTTTGGAAGCTGTTCCAGATCAAGATTAGCCACACTAGTCCTCCCACAGAGGATCAAATGTAGTTGACCGAAACAAAAAATGGCACATTGCAATAGGGCAATAGTTCATTCAGTAAGTTATAGCCTGCTAGTGAGATAATAGAAACTGAAAACATGCATTTGTTTGCGTGGCGCATACCAGTTAAAATGTTAATTTGAAATATGCCTTAGATATACCACCTAAGAACTAGCAAGATTTGGTGCTACACCCACTAAATTGAGAATGACTTCATAGACATGTCACAATCATAAATAACTTCAATAGGAAATTCCTACACAAAATTATCGTAGTCTAATAAACCAGGAACATTTTGAAACCATTGACTAAAAAGTGCTAATGGTAAAATTTTATAGAATCAAATAAGTTATAACAAAGCCTTACAAATTGGAAAGGAAAACTAATCACAATGACATTGAAGGGAGGCACAAAACTATCAAAAATTTCTGTAAGAATAAAAGACAAAGCCAAAAATTTGAATTCACAAGAAGACAAATTTTCCTAGGAGACAAATACACTTCAAACTTGAAGTTTGAACTTAGATGAGAAACTAGGCTTTGCCAACACTAGGGAATGTCAAGTTTGGCACTGACAGCAATGGTGTGTTGTGCTAGTTGAAATACTGTGATAGAGATTTTTAACCCTTTAGATTCAGCTTTCATCAGAACACTGATGGACTTTCTTCCATAAGAGAAATAGACTAACCAAGTAAAAGCATATTCAGCCAGTACTTATTCTACCTTTCTAAATTCCAAAACATCTATGAACTCTATTAGTTTAAGGTTTTCTTTCAGGGCACTAATTTGGCAGTACAACGAATGCACACATAGCAAAGATGAGTGTATGACTATGAGAGCAGATAAGGAAGACAGCAAAAATTAGACTTGCACTTTGCATGACACATTCTTTGTCCCTGCAAATTAGTGTGAAGTAGAGAGGTCGCACTAGTTTTTCTGATTAGCATTGTAATGTAGACACACTGCAAGATGATCAAACGAAAATTGAAATTGATTGTAGTCTATAACAAATATTCTATTGGGTTCCATGTAAACTACATGACATGATGGAAAATTTGATGATTGCGACTTACAAAGATATGCCTCCCCAATATGTAAATTCAGAACAATTCCTAGAGTCATTAGGACAAAACATATACAAATTAAATACAGGTTAAAGACCTCTTCCACACCTGCTTTACAATCAAATCTCAATTCAAAAAGAGAAAAACAAAACAGTCACACACAAAGAAAAAACAAAATTAACGCATAAATAAAACAAAATTGTACGGTATTTAGTTTCAGGAAGTTTTGTGAAGAGCAAGTTCTTTGATTAAGTGTCACACATCAAAATGAAAATGGCTCCACAATATTAACAAGAACAGCCGAGGGGCAAAGATTCTCTACACACTAGACTTATGTGAACCTTCACATAACATGAAAATAAAATTTAAGAAGCATGATTCAACACCAATCAAGATGAAATAAAATTTGCACATTTAGTACACCAATCTACATAATTTATGTTCCCATTTATCTTATATATTCTCAAACAAAGGCGGTAAAGTGTGTTTGTACAAAGAAATATCAAACTATTCAGTACAATTCTAGTGACTGCTTCCTGCTTGAGGACTATCGTCATCCTTCTTCTCCGCAGAAGTGCCTTCTTCCTCTTCCTCTTCTTCTTCTCCAGCTTCTATGAGTTTTCTTGCCAGCTTTATTGCATGGTATTCATTATAATGAGCTTTCCTCTTACTTTCAAATAATTTTCGTTTTGCTGTTGGATGAAATTAAAAAGAGTATTAATAGAAACCAAAAATTTGTGAAAACATGAACAGAATGCCGGTATGTAAAACCAAAAATAGAGCCAACCTCTTTCCTCTGGAGTTTCTGATTCATCTTCCTCTGACTCACTCTCAGACTCCAAAACTTTCAAAGGTTTTTCACCACTTTTTCGTATCCTGAAACACAAAAGAAAAATGTTTAAGAAACAACCTTCACTCCAATTTGAAGAATTTTTTTCAAAAAAGAACAAATGTTACTCCAGTTTCACAGTCCTTACTTTTCAGCCAGGTCACTTGCATCCAACTCATCGGGTGGCTCTCCTTCTCCATCCTCCCAATTGTAGGGCGTCTTTGGCTCCTCTATTTTCATATGGCCATAGTCCTTGTCTGAAGGGTGCAATGTTGCAATAATGTTCATTTCATCCCATTGTGTCGACTTCCCCTTTTGCTTCCTGAAATTTATAACAAGACATTGCAAAACATGTCATAACAAAGACAATTATAAGAGTTTAAAGGAGGCAGTAGCTTTGGGATCATTTAACAATGGCTTTAGCGTGGAGTGTACCTGCTGGAGGGGCCAGCTGAGCTGGAAGCTTTACTCAAGGGCCTCATGCAACAGGGAAGGTAAAATCAAGTCATAAAAACATCTAACTCCTATTTAACAGTCCCATATTTTTCCTAGCTTATATAACTAGCCATAAAATACTCAAGTCAGCTATTTGGTGCGGGAGAAATTTTCTAATGTATGTTGTGATGAACAAAGCCACACCAACAAAACACACAAGACAGTACTTCTCAAGAAAATATGAAGGAGTGAAACATTGAATCAGTGAATGGATTGAAGGCTCAAAACAAAAAGAAGAAAAGGGGAAGAGATGCATCATTAGTTTTTAAAAGCCTTTGTTTATGTTGTTCTGTACTTATTGGGCTCCCATAACCTCTAGAGGAGAAAAAAAATTATCATAAAAGTGCTTACAGAGGCCTAATTTTGAAAAATTAAATTCACTGTAGCGTAAATTTGAGACTAGCGTACAACAAACACTTTGCATGACAGCAAAAACACCTAAATTACCCTGAAAGACAAGCCTAGCCCAGAGACATGGCAGTCCTGCACGATACAATAATATAGGCAAAAAATCGATGACACTACCATAAAGCAAATATGTGAGTAAAATTCGACGTGATTCTTACTTCTGAGGTCCTTCTTGTTTATCAAAGCTTGAGGAATTCTTCAAAATACCTTTGGAAGGTCTCTTCTGAAGATTGTCCGCCATGATTACCAGATTGAAAAGCTTCAGCTGCAACTGTTGCCAACTGATAAAGAGACTTTTTATCAAACGAACTATTTCACACGGCAAACTAGCCGACTCGAGGTGAAATCAGCAAATTTTGTAACACTCAATTCATTTTAAAATTACTTTAAGTCATTTGAGAATCAGTATAAGCAAGTCTGAATGTTCGCAAGATTGATAAATGGTGAGACTTTCTAGGCTGGTAGCTGTGGCACAATACGAGGGAACCGCGTATTTCAAATGCTCCTTCCCTCGATTCTATTTGGGGTCTCTATACGCTCCGAGCCAAGGGAATGCCGCATCTTTTTAGTGCAGCCTTAAAGGCGGAGCTAGAACTCCACATGAGGGAAGACGAAGGGAACACGGGCAACGAAGACGGCACACTGGCACGCTGTTGTTTGAAAACGCGCGGGCCCTGAACGTATGACAAATTGTTGCTCCGCCTTGCTCTCTAAAGTTCTTGAGACGCCATGACGTCATACTGTGGTCTGTGTGTGTGTGAGTGTACGTGTGTCGCGAAAGTGTAGTGGTGCATTGTGTTGTCCCAGCTGAAACTGGTATCTTTGTAGTTGTTAGCATACGAAGAAATGTTTTAGTGGCACCTTGCATAGTTCCCGAGTGACAGGAATATTTGGTAAGCATTGTTCTTGCCGTTCTTTGGCGTTCATGGGTCCATGAGTTACCTCTGAAATTTGCAGAATGACCTACTTGCTCTAGTATCCTCCATCTGTCAAGGTCTAGGTTCGCAACTAGATCATAAAGCTCTCTGTGTATTTACTGCCATTAATTACGGTTAATTCCTTGGTGACATTTTGTCGAAGGGTTTTGTAAGATCGTAATTGTGTTTCTTACGGAGTGAACCTAACCTATTAATCTGTACCAACAAACCTCAAATCGTCTGCTTTGGTGTTATGAAAGATATTGACAAACATATGGACTGTAATGTGGTATAATTTTAATTTTTATCTCACACGCTTTTTGTTTGTTTTATTCTCTATAGTATTTGTTTCCATTTGTTGCATCATTATGAATAGTCAATGGTTTAGTATTATTGGGGCAATCATTTTTCACACAAATATTTTGTTTCAAATACTGACCCCCTTTTTTTTTCAGATTGTGTTGTTATTTCCCGGATGCTGCCATGGGGTTGCTTTTTACAAAGATTTGGAGCCTGTTTGGAAACGAGGGTAGATATTGAGAACATTTTCTCAACTGCTTATAAAATACACTCATTCAGTTCTTTTGTTATAAAGCTACCTTTGTATTGTGGTCACTCTGTTTCAGAGCACAAAATCGTCATCGTTGGTTTGGACAATGCAGGAAAAACAACAATCCTCTATCAGTTCTTGATGAATGAAGTAGTGCACACTTCTCCCACAATTGGATCAAATGTGGAGGAAGTTGTTTGGAAAAACATCCACTTCATGATGTGGGATTTAGGAGGTCAACAAAGCTTACGGGCAGCATGGAGTACTTATTACAGTAATACAGAGGTATAGTGCATTTCATGATATATATTCATATTGATGTTTGACATTGTTTTCCTGACACTACCTTTTTTTTTCCAGTTTGTTATAGTCGTTATAGATTCCACTGATAGGGAACGTTTGACAGTAACAAGGGAAGAGCTGTATCGTATGCTCAGCCATGAAGACTTGTCCAAAGCAGCTGTACTTATTTTTGCCAACAAGCAAGACCTGAAGGGGTCGATGACTGCAGCAGAAATATCCAAGCAACTTGACCTTACATCAATTAAGAAACAGCAGTGGCATATTCAGTCATGCTGTGCATTGACGGGAGAAGGGTAAGTGTTATGCCTTCAAACATGCAGGAGATTATATTTTAAACAACGCTAATTCTTTCAATTTCTTATGTGTAGGCTTTATCAAGGGTTGGAGTGGATTTGCAGTCGATTGAAAAAGAAGTGAAGAAGAAGCAAGACATAAATTTTGAAGAGTGCCTTGTGTTGACCATCTGAGGTCTTCCTTGTGTGAAATTTCTAAAAGTGACAAACATTTACATTGTGTGTGAGAGAGAAAAAGTGAAAATGTTTCTGTTGATAAGATAAAAAATGTATGTTTTTTCTTAAAGAGATCTTTATGTCATCAGTTTTAACTTGCTAGGCTTGTAAGTGTGCAAGTGGATTCTAATGTCATTGCCAGAAGGGACACCTGTTTCTGTTTGGGTGTGATGTCTAGTATAAGTAGGTGTGTATTTAAAAGATGAGATGACTAGTCTCTCAACGCTATCAACAAACCTTTCAACTCTTAATAAATTTAATGTGCTGGTTTCAGCAATTCTATACAAGGATAATTCCTGCTCTCATGGCCCAGAAGCTCCATTATTTCCATTTTCTGTAATGCTGCGACATACATTGCCACTCTATTGGAAAAGCAGTAATGAATGCTGAGGTATTAATTGGAATATGGCAAATAAATTTGGGTTGTTGTCATATCACTAGATACTGTACCCCTTCTGTCAATGACACAATGAGTTAGTATGAAATTGTTACAGGCTGTGATGTAATTTGATTGTTGAGGTGAAATGCTGTCTAGTATAAATGACAGCAAAAGTTTTTAATTTCCTCAATAGTACTGAAATAGATTGCCTGTCTTCTCTCTTTTCTGCTTTCAAACCTGGTGAAAAGGCCAAGCTTTTAATTATGTTTTTCTTTCTCTGTTAATATTCCAATGTACTGTATGTAATTTCATCTCTTTACTCTGCACTGTACATCAGGTAGTGTTATTTCTGCTTAGTGTAAAATGAACTGGAGTTACCAGGAGTTACTGTAGCTTGCTGACACACATCACTGACAGCTTCACAGAAGCTGACAAAATAAGTTATTCTGTTCATTTTGCCTTAATAATGACTACCTTTTTAATGTAATGTTGTCTTTGTAAAATTGACAAATATCTTTGTTCGGGCATCCTTCTAAAGACTTTGAGGCTACACTAGAACTGGCACAAAACATCACATTTTAAGTAGGCATTGTCATTGCAGTCGAATGCATTTTTCAGTTTTTGAATGTTGAGTGCTAAGATTTTCTTTTTTTTTAATCTTTCTTCAGAAACATGCATTTGTGGTTTCATCACTGTTTACTGCCAAACTTATCACACATTGCCTGCTGCTGATTGTTTCCTTTTTTCTTGGGTTCTTTACTTTGAATTTTTGTGCTTGGTTCTTGAGATCTACAATTTAAGTTTGTGTGTTGTAGATTCCAGCCCTTTGATGGGGTTATCTGTGATGCATACTTGTGTACAGTACTGTTGATGAATACGTATTATGTAAAGTTACTGCAGTAAACCAATTGTTCTATGTATTAATGGAGGGATTAATGTTACATATGGTCGCCTTGACTCAACTCTGTTACTCATGTTACCAATTTTTATGTCTAGTGATAGAGAGTTGGAGTTGATGGGTCCATGCCACTTAAATCTTAAAAAATAAAATAAAAAAACAACAATTTAAGTTTAAGTTTAAAGTTAAGAAATAAATCTGCACTTAAAACATGTGAACAGCACTGCTGCAGTAAACTATGACTGATATAATGATGACCGTTTTAGTGTCAAACGTGAGTGTTCTTTGACTATGTCAACAGTCTCCTCTGGTGTGGGTAGTCTGTGTTTCAAGGTACAAACAGAACTGTGTATCCCTGTTATGGCTGAGAGGCAGGCAAAGGCACAGGTTGTATGATATGAAAATCAATTTCAAGTTGTCAGTTGGCATAACTTCAGAGAAATGCCAAAATCATGAAAGTGCCATCTGGAAGCATGATACAGCATAGTAGACCCCTTTTTAAGACTGTTTTGATAGAGGAAATATGAGTTGAAGGATGTTATATGAATCACCTCTATTTCTCCAAACAAATTCACAAAACTGTCTTATGTTAGGCTCTGCTGCTATCTCATTGTTATGGATTGATCGCTTGGCTCTACCTCAGCTAGCCCTCAGCATGTCAATATGGAGGTTCAACTGGTTGGAGCTGTGGCTTCAAAGTCAGCACATGAAAAGTCTTGCATGCAATTGTCTTCATGTAATGCTTAGTTTTATGACGGTTGCAACTTTTTGGGTTTATATTTTTGTACGATTCAAGAGTTTACATGCAGCATATCTGCATGGTTTTCATAATTATTTTTCCAGTTGTGTGGTGTTTCCCCTGCTGGCATATTATAAATTTTGAACATATTTCTTTTGATAATGTGTTTCTTTTACTGGATTGTAAGTATGCATTCTGTTCAATTGAATCATCCCATTATACATTTATTTAATGATTACTATTTTGCATTACATGGGAGATGATTTTTTGTATAGTTGCTGCAAGTTGTTATGTGATTGACTTTGGTATATTGTGATATGTATAAATGAAGTTTTAATAATCATCCATTAAACAAGCCAATTTATAGTTTCTCTCAAGAATTAGAGAGATTTTTATCTCATTTTGCTCTCAAAGACTCAGCTCATGTTTTCTGACGTTTGCAATATTTACCATCCTCGCTGAAGTAAAATTTAAGCAGCAACAATTGTTACTTCTGATGGAATCAGTTCAAAACCTTTATATTAATATTAATTTACAGTATATGTGTATGCCTACACTCTGTTCTGTCTTTCAGAGAAAATTACTGGAGTCATGTTATTTTCATGAACAAGTATGTTGTGACTGTTTAATGAAAGTATTCTTGAGGATGGTTTTTTTAAATATCTTGCCATCATTTACATGATGTTGGGTTTTTAGTTGTTCTATTGAAAGCCCTGGCCCATCTAGAGTTCGTCAGGCTGAATCTGTTGTAACAGCTTACATGTAACGACATAAATAAAGTTTATCTTTCAACTAAAGCACTTATTTCAACCACCTTTCCTAACTGGTCGGAAGTCAAGAAATAAAACAAGACCGTAGTGCATTTACATGTATTTATTGATAAATAAAAACAGAGAGGAGACCGACATTTCAATGTGAAGGGTGCTGCAGTTCCAAGACACTTTGGATGCCATGCTTGCGTGTGTGTGTTGGGCTCGTTGGACGTCAGCCCAAGCGTCGCAGCGAAGTCAGCAGGAAATCGGTGTCGAAGCCCGCCTCGTTGTCTTCTCTGGACTGGAGGGACTGGCACACCGCATCGATGCGGCACGAGTCTGGAACGGAACAGAACAGAACACAGGCAGTCAGGTGAGCGCGGGGAAGCACCAGCCGAGCGATTCAGAAGAGCCGTTTCATCGCTCTGTCTCTGTCGCACTCGTGGGGCTGTCCACAAGGGCCAAGGGTGCGAGGGAGACGGAGCCAAGGCCTCACCGTGGGTGCAGCACACGCCCTGCGCCGCGCACCTGCCGGGCGCGCTGCCGTCGGGGGTGAGGTCGGCGCCGCAGGGGGCGTCCAGGGGCAGCCCCGCGAGGGCCGAGGCGGCCGAGGCCGTGCTGGCTCCGCTGGCGGACGGCGGCGGCGCGCAGTGCGGCGGGAAGGCGACGGCGCGGGTGCAGGTGCCTCGCGAGGCCATCACGCAGCCGAACAGCGGACTGCAGCAGATGCCCGGGCCGATGCAGAGACCCTCACCGCCGGGGCCGCACGCCGCGCACTGCACCTGCAATGCAAGCGCGCAAGCGGTCATTCCCTGCTCCACGTGCGGGGCGCCAAGGCGGCCTGGTTGGTGGTGACGTACCTCTCGGTTGCGCCCTGACACCGCCCCCGGCACGGCCACCGCGCTGCCAGACCGCTTGCCGCCGCGGGGGCAGTTGGTGATGAGGCACGCCCAGCACGCCCCCAGCAACGCGAGCAGCGCCGCCACCAGCAGCAGCCCGCCCCCCGCGCCGCCCCTGGCTGTCTTCATGTCTCGCTGGAGGTGGTGGCAGTCGGTGGTCCTCAGTCGGCCGTCGCGGTGCGGCTCTTGGCGTGTTGGCGGAGCGAGGTGCCGGCGGAGTCTGAGGCCGACCCAGGGGCGGCGCCAGTCTTATACCCCACGAGGCAGCAGACGGATTCCGCTTCTTTCGCGCCAGAGCGGGACACCCCATGGGTGCGAGAGGGACAGGAGGGTTGCGGCTTGGGCTTCCGTATGCAAAGACGTGCACAATGCCCCCGCCCTTCGCTAGCATTGTCGCGGTGCCTGCGCACTGTAGGCCCCGGGACCCCGGTGGCATCGCCGAGTGGGAATAAGCATAAGCCCACCCCACTGGCCACTACCGCAGTCACGTCCAGGCCCACGCCTTGGTGACGTCGTGTGCATGGGCCCTTCTTACAGGGCCACGCCTGGAGGGTAGGCAACTCGCGCCATGGACAATGTTTCGGAGTGGTTGGAATAAAAGGGAACGAGTTATGGAGTTGCATGTTTATTATCACTAAAATACCAAATGTTTACATAAAACACATGCTCCAATAACTTAGTGGCTACGGAAGGTGTGCTATTTGATAAAGAAATGCAATACATACAATTATGCCTTAATTATTATTCTCTGAAAATTACACTGGAGCAACTGAACCGAAACGGCTATTTTTTTGGCACTTCCCAGAGATTCACCACCAGCTGCTCAACTTAATATTGATGCACAACCTTAGTATCAATATATCTATTGATTATGAAGTAAATTATGAGTATAAAGTAACACATTCACACTAGAAACACAAAAAGGAAATTCTTTTTTACAAAAGGTAAAGGAAGAAAAAGACACATACTCAGATATACTCCTCTGATAAATAGAGAAATCACATCACAAACACCTTCTCCACCTTCTTATAAGGAAATGTCTCTTTTGTTTTGGGACAAATAATATTTCCATTATTTTCAGAAGCCATTTGCTGCAATGCCTAGAAAGAATGCACCAAAATTTAGAAGAGATATGATCTTTGAACGGTCATTAACATGCTACAGTGTTTCTTTGCCTTACCTGTTCCCCATAAACATGGCCATTGGGTAACATCATTGGTTGGTTGTGCTCATTCAGAGGCAAACCAGAAATACTACAAAACAGACGTGACTGGGAGCAATGAGCCATTGGCAATGGTGCAGCCAGTTGATTGAAGGACTCGTTGCAGACTGGGCAGCTGGGATTTCTCCTCTCTTTGCAGCCACGGTAACACTGAGTAAGCGATTAGTTAAGGAACATTGGTTTCAAAGCATTGATAAAGTCATGTCTGCAAATAAAACATTTATCTACTGCAAGACTCAAAATTGTCAATAAAGGATATGGAGTCTTCAGTGCTGAAAGGCCTGCCTCCAGAGTTACAGTGAACACTGATTGATTAGACATATGGAACAGACGATAATATTCATGGCGGAACTGCTCAATTAATCGATCCCAACGGCGTTCATCCAAAAATTCTTTGTATGGCGAAAGCTCTGCAAGACAAAAACAATAAAATATACACATGTAACACAAGATTCTACCACATTGGTAAGTAAATGAAACAAATTAACACCAGAACTAGTACCTGTATTAGTTGGGAAGGCTAAAAGAGCCATGCAGTGTTGAACATCCTGTAATTGATCTTCTTCAAAATTTGAAAAATGCTTCCTGGCATGTCTATTAGGAAAAAGCAAAACAGAATACATTTTGATTTATTTTAGCTAAGCAGAAACTGTCAACATAAAATTTAACTAATAAAAATGAAAATACCTCACAGCATCCACTCGCTTGTCAGCACGAACAAGTTCCACATATTCCTGAATTCTCAAATTAAATTCCATGTTAGATTTTAATTTGCGCAGCTTTGAGCGATTGTCCTGGCACCATGCAAGGCATTTGGAGGTCTCCCTCTCAGCAAGTGATTGCTCAACTTCCCTTGATGCCAAAAATACATCTTTAACAAAAGAAATAGGAGAGGTAGCTTAAGTGAAGGACAGGACATTCTTTAACATGATTTGGAAAGGTAGTTAGGAGCATGATGTATTACCTATATTGGTCAAGTCTCGTAGGTTGGAAGTATCAGCAAGACGAGTTGCAGTCCCATAATAGCCTTTGCGTAAAAAATACTCCACTAGCATGCGGTCCAATCTGCTTCGCCTCCACTGGCTTCCACCAGTAGCATGTTCACGAAGATGTTCCAGACGGCGTTTACAAACATACCCTGCTTGGAGCTCTTCTGAAATACTTTCCTCAGCCTTAAAGAATAGAAAAGATTGTAAGAAAAGAAACTAACATGAAGAGCATGAAGAACGAAAGGTTAGTGATGGTGAAGACAAAAGTGGCTGCATAGGTGTGATACCTTTCTCTTCATGACACTCAGATGTTCAGCAACTCCCCCTAGCAATCGGCTTATGTCTCCAGCTCGAACAGTCTCTGCAGCGAGGCCTTTTTCAAGCTCCAAAGCAGCAGAACGAACATGAGACACTTTCAAGTCAATCCCCTTCAGAGCTGCACGATATTTCTTATTCAGCAGCTCATAAGGAACCTGTAAAAACAAAAGTTTTAACTAATTTTTTAACAACAAAATAAGTGGAGCAGAAAATGGAACTGGAATCTTGTGGCTGGCAAAACAATTAGCATAAAAGCAACCTAGGTTATGTTCTGGAATTATTTTTTAAAATTCACATTAAGTTTCAACGGCCATAAAATAAACAGTCGTTATTTTTCGACGAGTTAGAAACTAAATTCAACGGTAGAAAGCCAAAATAATTTATTAGCATCAAAGAACTTGAAAACAAAAAGGACAACCTAAATTCCGTCGTAATTTGGCAGTTCGTTATGAACGGGAGATTTGTCTCACCTTCAAGGTAGGATGCTCTAACGATTTCAAGTCAGCCATTGTGCACCTTGTACCCTTTGACTGATTGCACGTTCACTTAAGTATTTGCGAACAACAACAATGACAAACAGCCTACGCCATAATTTGGAAGTTGGACAAAGCAGCTGATTCAATGGCGTAGAGTCCTACGTCGACTATCGCATCGATATGTTGTGAATTTATGTGACCCAAATTTGCGTGAATTTCAGATAATGTTGAAGTAATTCATGACATGACAGCCTTAAAGCAATGTGAGTAAAAGGAAAATAGAGTCAAAATTTTCCAAAACGTCTTCTGCTTTGTTTACATGTTGCCGGCCTGCCACTGGCCAACCTGATCAGCTGTTAGGGGTGGGGGAGGAAAGGGGTGATCTGATCTGTCATCTGCTGGTGCTGGCTGCCAGTTTAGCAGGAAATGTAAGAACATTGTGCCCCTGCATCGGTAATTGTTTCGATTGCTGCTGTTATTTGGGAAAATTTTTTAATTCTGCTCATGTGAGCCCTATTGCTTGTCTGTCATGTTCTTAAATTCCTCAACGGTGAACTAATATTTCTTGGCTTTGGTTATGAGTACATGGTTTCCTTTGTTCAGAACATTCCTAATCAAAGATTCTGTGCTTTCGAAAAATAGTAAATAACTCAACATGATTTTTCATTACAGATGAATGACGTTTCAAAGTCACAAGCTCTTGAATCTGATAATTATCAAACCAAATCAAAAAAAAATTCTGTGTCAAATTCTAAGAAAAGATTAGAAGATGACGATCTTGAGAAAGTCAAAGATAAGGGTGAAAAGAGGACAAAACGAAGGAAAGCTAGTGACTCGACCAAGAAACTCAAGAAAGAGGATCTTGTTGAAGGCAAAAGCGCCAGCCGGAATTCATCTGCTACACCGGACAGCGAGCCAAGACAAGACCAGTCAGATTCCCCTATTACAGATGATGTATTTGAAGGTTCAAACAGCTCGCTAGAGAGCAATGAGGTTTTATCCATGGGTTCACTATTGAAATCAGTTCTAGACCGTAAAAAGAAAGTAAGTCTGTTGTTAACAGTGGCAGCTGCTGTAGGTCTAAGGAACTAAATATTTAATTTACCTTCACTTGTTGCAGCTTTTATTGGAATCAGATGAAATACAGCAGTTTTTCAAGGAACACATGGTGAAGCAAGAGCGGTGGGATGGTCCAAGTTAATAACTCCATTCCTTGTTGAATAACAATCTGCTGTGATATTACAACTGTTAAAATTTTAGTTTTGTTTGTTACAAAATATCGTACTTTTAAAATCTTGACAAAATCTTGTACATACTTTTAAAATCTTGTTTGACTCTGCCTTTCATTTAAAATGTTTTTTGTACTAAGTTACCCTTACTCATTGCACTGTATTCTTTTTTCACTGAGAAATAATAGTCATCCTTTTTTCTGTACTACTTTATTTTACATCACTCTCACCTCGTAACTCACGCCTTATAATAAAATATTTCAATAGAAATGGCACTGAATGGAAGACATGTTGCATTGGAAGACATAGATTGGAAGACATTGATTCATTGATGGAAAGACATCATTACCCTTAACTGCAGAGCTCTCTAATACATAGCCAGAGCATAAGCGCTTGTTATTGAAAAATACATGGCTGTTTAGATAATACAAATCACACACATTTCTAAAATACTTTGTACATGGGCTTCATAATGGAAGCCTCACTATAAATAGAGATGAACCAAGAAGGTCTACTTGGGAATACATGATGTGGATCCACATGATGTGTGTGGATACACCAAGCTTTGAATGGAATGGTAAAAGTAATAATAACAATTACAAAATGGCAAATAATTTCATGACTAGTATAAGATTGCCGAATCAAACATCAAAGATTCCCCCCTCCCCTTTTTGATAGTGCACTAAAAACAATATAATTCATTCACAATTTTGTTAAAAAAATCAAAGTAGTAAATTAACTTGAAAATGACACAGGTTTAAAAGCATATCCGCATCCTTTCAGAATTCAAAGGTTGCCAAAGCACATGTATTTCACATCAGTATACTCCTCAATACCATGGTGGGAGCCTTCACGTCCAATGCCAGATTCTTTGATTCCTCCAAAAGCTGCTTCAGTGCTAGAAATCATTCCCTCATTAATTCCAACCATACCAACTTCAAGTGCCTTACCAACTCGCCAACATTGGGCAATATCGCCACTGAAGAAGTATCCAGCCAATCCCACTGGTGTGTCATTTGCAATCTTCAGGCCTTCTTCCTCAGATTTAAACCTATATAAAAATAAATAAAAGGTACACTCATTCAAAATTTAGATGGAAGCTTGAATGCCACCGAAGGTAATTCATTAAATAACTTACTTAATACAGGCAACAACTGGTCCAAAAATTTCTTCACGGTAACAAAGCATGTCTGATTTGATATTAGTCAGCAGAGTAGGTTGGTACCACCTTTCTCCCAATTCTTTAGCTGGACCTCCTCCAAGATGAACTGTGGCCCCCTTCTTCACTGCATCTTGCACGATGTTGTCCACCTAAACACCGAGTAGATATTATTAAAAGTGAAACAAATCAAAAGAGTCACCTCACCATGAGCATGGACTTACCCGCTGCAGTTGAGTGACGTTTATTAAGGGACCAGTGTTACAGCTCTCGCCAGTTCCTTGCTTCAGTTCGGTCTTCATTGCAACCTTCAGCTTCTCTACAAACTGGTCAAAGACAGATTCTTCAATGAGGAACCTGTTGGCACTTACACATGTCTGCAGAGCCAAACAAACAAAAGAAAACATGTCTACCATGAGTAATAGGGAATACTGTAAAAGCAAAAAATAAAGTGTTGTGAAATAGTTTACACACTTGACCACAATTCCTAAACTTGGATGCCATTGCCCCTACAACAGCTTGATCCAGGTTTGCTGACTTGAAAACAATGAACGGTGCATTGCCTCCAAGTTCCAGGGAAACCCTTTTGATTCCTGAGGCACACTGTTGGTAGAGAATCTTTCCAACAGCAGTGGAGCCTGAAGGTAAAATAAAAGTTGGAGTAAAACACAAAACACAGAGAAAAAAAATTAAGACATATTATTAATACCTGTGAAAGAGAGTCCTCGAACAAGAGGACTTTCGCATAAAATTTTTCCCATAGGTGCAGCATTGTCTCGACTTGCCGTGATTACATTCAGCACTCCCTTAGGGATACCCGCATCATGGGCCAATTGAGCTAATGCAAGTGCTGTAAGAGGAGTGTCCTCTGCAGGTTTAATCACACATGTGCAGCCTGCAGCCAAAGCGGCTCCAGCTTTCCTTGTTATCATTGCATGAGGAAAATTCCACTGAAATACAAATCAGGAAAAGTTGACAAGTGCTGTTTAGACAAGAGTACTCAGAAATTCAAATTCAAAATTATTTTCTTACAGGTGTGATGAGGGCAGCAACCCCAATAGGTTGCCTAATGAAAAGCATTTCCTTGGATTTAGCAGGGCTGGCTGCAATTTCTCCCTAAATAGAAACAAATATTGAAAGAGTAACTAACACAACAATGCCTTATCACTAAAAGTCCTTTCCACCTGAAACTCACATTAATCCTACGCGCTTCCTCAGAGAACCATTCAATAAAAGAGTTCCCATAGAAAACTTCGCCGAGTGACTCTTTGAATGGTTTACCCGCCTCAATGCTGACTAAACGGGCCAATTCCTCCTTGTTTTCTTCAAGTAAATTGAACCATTTACGCAGCAAATTGGACCTCTCCTGCATCAGAAAAATACAGGATTTAGAAGAGAGGTTACAACACCTCTTTTTAAATTTGAAAGAATATGAAAAATAGTGAGAAAAGAAATAATTCTTGAACCTTTGCGGTGGTGCTTGCCCATGGCTTGAATGCGCTGTGTGCAGAATCAATGGCTGCCTTTGTATCTTCAACATCCATGTCAGGCACTTGCCCAATAACACTTCCATCAGTGGGGTTTATTACATCGAAGCTTTTTCCTTTCTTTGAAGTGATCCATTCTCCATTCACAAATGCTTTGTCACGAAGCAAAGACATGTTTCTTTGCATCAGACTGAACGCACTCCTCTGGAAAGACCACAATAAAGAAAGGGTGAATAAATATAAAAATAAATGATGATAAGACCTTTGAACTCTCACTATCTCATCAGAGACTTCAAAGACCGCACCACGTAGGGCACTGAGCAACCAAGAGATAAGGCAAGCCAAGGTTCTGTTAGAGTCAACAAGGAGCAGGCATTCCAGGGAGGTGCTGGCTGTTCAAGAAACTGTCAAAAGCAGGACAGGTTATGTTATGGTTTGCAACTCCCACGAAAAGTCGAGTGAAGCTGACCTTGATGAGAAGCGATCCTATTCCGACGATGGCCATAATGAAAATCTAGTAGACTTCAGGATCACTGCTTGACAACAGCCTCCAGCCAATTGAAAGATCAAGTACAGTCCCACATGCTAAATTGCTGTTAACGAGAGCAGGAGCAGACGACAAGAGGTTTCGGTGTGTGACCAACCTAAAATAAAAAAAATGTACTAACAGTCAACGGGATAAATGTTTATTTAAAATAAGACAATGTCGCAGAAACTGATAGTTTTACGACTCTTTCTTTCTTTTCTTGATTGTAGATGGCGCACCGAAATAAACGCAAAAAAATTAGAAAGAGTTCATGAAACAAGTGCCTACCCTGGCGGTCGCCTCACTAGCGCCGGCGCCGAGCCTGCGAACTGCTCCAAACCGCGCGATTCAAGCGCCGTGGGCGAACCACCACCACACCGCCCAATCGGATTGAAGAGACAAGATAAAATTATTTCTGAAAAAAATTGCAAACTGACAAATACGTCTATATGCGTGACGATGCCTAAATACTGAATTGAGGAACTCTGCAAAGTTGGCGGAATTGTTCCCGCCGCCAGCAGCGAAGGGGAGGGAGTGGGCGAGGCGCAGCGAGGCGGGGACCAAAAGGGGGCGGGTGAAGCTAGGCGAAGCCGGAGCAGGGGAGGCTGCCCCCACGCGCCGCCCCCGCCCCACAACGCTGCGTGGAGGGGCGGCGGGGGCCGGCGGGGGCGCCCATCTCCGGCAGACAAGGGGCGGAGGGATGAAATGATGGGGAATGGAGGTGAGAGGCGGGGGCCGTGGCCGGGGCGCTGGGTTGGCAGTGAGGTGGCAGTGAGGTGGCGGGGAGCACGAAGCCTCGCCCAACCCCAACCCCAACCCCACCCTCAACTTGCGACTCGCAGGCTGCGCAGGCTGGCGGCGCTGGCAGCACACGCTGGCAGCAGGTGGTTTGCTCGGCCCGGCTCGGCTCCGCTCGACTCGACGGGGGCCCAGCCCGGCCCAGCCTACAGGGGCCTCGCCAGCCCGGCCAGCCCGGCCCAGTGACTGGGGCCTGGGGGCTAGGGACGCTCGCGCGGGCCGAGGGAGGCGACGCGCCGAGCCACGCCGAGCGCCGGCCAGTCTCAACCGCGTGGGCCCGGGGCGAGCATGCCGTCTGTGCAGCCTGCGCGCCGCGCGTAGGGTGGCGTGGCGCTCACAGCGCGTGCGGGCTGGCTGCCTGGCTGCCTCGCTCCAGCTCCCGGCTGCTGCGGCCTGCGTCCCAGCGTCGCAGCGTTCCAGCGCCCCAGCGCCGCGCACCCCACTCCAGCCCGCAGCCCCGACCGGCCCGACCGGCCCGACCGGCCCGACGCCAGGACTCCTATGGGGCGCGCCGCGCGGGCCGACCCCACGCGGCGTGGCGGCGTTGCTGTCGGGGTGGCCGTCGGGGGCGTCTCTTGGTAGCCAGGCGCCGCACCGAGGTGAGTACGGAGTGCGAGGAGTCCAGGGGGGCCGCCGGTCGCCCTGGAGGCAGGCAGTAGGTCGACGCGGTTGCCGCGCGGGCTGGCCTACCTCGACGGGCGGCCTCACCCCGTTGCCTCGCCGTCGTCCCGCGCATTAAGTCCGGCCAAGTCCAACACCACCACGCCAAGTGCGAGGCGGACTAACGAGCGCCCCCCCCCACCTCTTCCTTCCCCAGGACGCCCCCAAGTGGCGGTGAGTTATCGAGGACCTCGCTGCGGCGGCGCGGCGCTGGTCAGGTGTCGGTGTCGGGGAGGCAGGGCCGGGGCAGGGCCGGGGCAGGGCCGGACAAAGGCGGCGGGGGCGAGGGAGGGGGAGGGGGGAAGAAGAACAGCGGGGGCCTTTCGTTATCGCGCGGCGGAGCGCGGCGGAGCGGCGAAGCATCCCAGGGGAAATAGTTGCAAACTTTAATCGAAGCGCCCCGAAAAAAGCGGTGCGGAGTTTCGGAGGTTTCAGGGTACCGGCAAAACTGGCCGACGAAGAGAGGTGGGGGGGGGGGTGTAGCGTTGGCGTTGGCGGGCACAGGGGGGGGGGGGTGACAAGAGACAACCCCTTTGCCCTTTGTTTTTGTCGCTGTCGGTCGCAGGTCGTGGCCTCTTATCGCGGGGTTCCATTACCGCAGGGCACTGTTTGCCTGCGGAGACAGACGCCACTAGCGGAGTCTGTGTGTGTATGTGTGTGTGTGTGTGTGTGTGTGTGTGTGTGTGTGTGTGTGCGCGTCTGTCTGCACGTCTGACTGCCCGTTTTGGCCGGACGTGCGAGACGTGCGAACAGTGTGTGCTTCGCTGGGATGAGCTTGCGACACTGAGATTGGGGAGCCTGGGGCGTTGCAGTCGTGTAAAGGTGTGTGTGAGAGGGGGGAGGGGGCGTGAGAGAGAGCGAGACAGACAGACAGACAGACAGACAGACAGACAGACAGACAGACAGACAGACAGACAGACAGACAGACAGACAGACAGACAGACAGACAGACAGACAGACAGACAGACAGACAGACAGACAGACGGACGGACGGAGGAACAGAAAGTGCGTGTGTCGCCGCTGTCGCCCTGCCGCCGCAGACCGCACGCCGCCGGCCTTGCGGGCCTTGCATTGGATGGATCGGGGGAGGCGAGTGTATGCGTGGATGGCCTGGCTGCGCGCCGAGCAGTGTGCCGAGCCGTGACCGAGCCGTGCGCGGGGGTAGATGTCGGGGAACGGGGTGCGGGTGTGCGGCATCCTCCATCCACCCGCATCCACCTCGCTCCAGAGCGCGCGGCGGTAACGGGATTACTCTGGCTGCCAGCCCCGCCAGCCCCGCCGCCCGCCCGAGCAGGCAGGCAGCACCCCACCGCGTCGTCCCTCGTATGATGCTTACCGCCTTAATTTTGCATCCCGGGCACTCTGCGCGCCACGAAAAAGGACAAAGTCGCGACGGGGGGGGGGGGGGAGGAAGGAATAGGAAGCAAGGAAAGGAAGGAAGGAAGGGGCGGTAGGAAGGGATGATAGAAAGGCGCGCCAAGAAGGCGGGTCGATGGGGTCTTCAATATAACAGCGAGCAAACGAACCGCACGGTCTGACCCCCTCCCCTCCCCTTCCCCTTCCGGGCTCCATCTCTCCAGTCCCATACACCAACCTATCCATGGCAGACGTGTCTCCCTTTGCCGTCGGGAGGTGCGCCACTGTAAATATTCAACGACGTCGTCGTCGTGCTTCCCGGTAGGGGGAGGGGTGGGGGTGAAATCATCACCGCGTGACGACAGGTGAAGTGGTTCCGAGTACGCGGGGTGGATGGGGCCATGATGTAGCCGGCATTGCCCATCCGCGCGTGAGGCGGGGTGTGTGCCGTGCGCTGTGTGCCGAGAGTCGTTTTCATCGCTCTGTCTCTCTCGCACCCGTACGGGCCGCCCCGTGAGTGCGAGAGAGACAGAGCGACGACTCTCGGAATCAGTCCACAGCGCGCGCGGAGCGTAGGGCGTTATTCGCGTGCATGCGTGTAAACACGGTGCTGCGCTGTGGTTCCGAGAGTGGTCGCTCTGTCTCTCTCGCACCCTCACGGAGCGCGCCGCGAGTGCGAGAGAGACAGAGCGACGACCCCCCGGAGTCAGTCTACAGCGAGCGCAGAACGCGGAACACGCGGCGAGAGAGGGCTCTTAAATAAATGAAGCGCTGCTGCTCCATCCACCTTTCTTCTCGCTCTCCCGCGCTAAGCGGCGCCGAGCGCCAAATCTCCATCTCGCTCCGTTCGTTCAACGAATAACCGGCGGAAAACAAACCGAAATGCGATGAAACATGAAAATTAGCAAAAGCGGGACAGCGCCAGCGGGCCAGCGATGAATAATGAATAATAAAGTACACGAAAGGGGGGAGCAGCGAAGCTCAGGCGGATGAAGAATACTCGTGTACTGTAAAATGATCCATTACCGCGTCATGATTCATTAGCCTGCCCGTTCTGTGTTTACTCTGTGTGTGTGTCCTCGGTCTGTCCGTCAGTCTGTCCGTGTGGGGCGGCCTCATCGGAACGGCAACGGGCTCCATCACCGGGCAGTGCGTCCTGATGAGGGTGCCACGCGCTGCCTCGTGCACGGCGTGCTTCGTCACCGCGAGGAGCACAGCAATATGGCGGTCATAAATCTACCGCCGAACCCACCGCCCGCCGCGCACCTCCACCGCACCGCCACCACACCGCCAACGGCCAGGACCGCCAGCCGCCAGGCCCCGAGGTCACGTGGACTCGGGAACGCCATCAGCAGGCGGCGGGGCGTGGCAGGGGCGGGGCGGGGCGGGGCGGGGCGGGGCGGGGCGGGGCGGGGGGGGCGGGGCGGGGCGGGACGGCTCCAGACCAGGCCCAGGGCGCCACCACGCCCCGCCCTGTCCGCCACTTTCGTCGCGAGCGCGCTTATTAAATTATTCAAAGAAAATGCATTTACGGGCAGGGGACGCTCGGGGATCCACCATCCACCGTCCGCAGCGCGGTTCCAGCAGGCCCCAGCAGGCTCCCCCGGCGCGCCGGGACGAGCGCTTAGCGTCCGCGGGGCGAAGAGGGGGAGGGGGTTGGAGGGAGGAAGCGCGGAGAACCAGAAGCGCGACTGAAAATTGACAGAGGGGATATTGAAGAAAGGCGGCGGAGCGGCCGACGCGGCAGAGCGCCTGCCATCCGCAGGGTAGGCAGGCCCGCCGAGCACGCCGCCGCCCACACTGCCTACCCGCCAGGCGCTCGCCCCTCCGAGGAGTCGTCTCGTCGCTCTGTCTCTGTCGCACTCGCTGCGCGGGCCGAAGGGTGCGAGAGAGACAACACGACAGGCCGCCATGACGTGGCCCCGATGGCGGCCACTTTATCAATGGCTCGTCTGCCTACCGCCCCTCCGCCCTCCACGACCACTATCGCGACGATAAGGGAAGGGCAGCCTGTTGATGGAGGATTCCCCGGGATTTGGCGCGGATCGCTAACTGTTACACAACTCTCCTCTCCTCCTGGCTGCCGCGCCACCGCGCCCAGCCGACCGGGAGACGCGTATTTTTCCAGTGGCCGAACATCGTGCGGCGCATTACGGAAGCACGCGCCGCCCCGGGGCTCGTCGGCCTCGTCGTCCAGCCCGTGCCCGTGTCCGCCCCGTGTCGGGCCTCGGCCTTCGGCTCGGCCTTCGGATCGGACGGGCGGCGCGGCGGCCCTGGCGACGCGGGAGCG